CTAGAGAATAGAAAAAAAAGAGAAAAGTCAACAAAACCAAAAGGTCATTTTTTAACATATCATTAAAATGGACAAACCTTTAGCTAGATTAACTAGGAAAAAAAAAAGAGGAAACTCAAATTACTAAAATCAGAAAGGAAAGAGGAGCTATAACTACCACCTCACTGAAATAAGGAGGATTGCAAGGGAAACTGAACAACTGGGTGCCAGTAAATCAGACAACACAGACGAAGCGAACAAATTCCTAGAAAGACAAACTATTCACACGGAATCAATAAAAAACAGAAAATTCTGAACAATCCTATAACAAGTAAAGAGACAGAGTCAGTAATTTTTTTTTAAATCCTGCAAAGAAAAACCCAGGCTACATTGATAAATTCTAACAAATGCTTAAAGGATGATTAATATTCATCCTTCAGAAACTCTTCCAAAAAATGTAAGAGAAAAAAACACTTCTCAAGTCATCTAAAAGGCCAGCACTGAAACCCAAACCAGACACCACGACAAGAAAAGAATATCAAAGACCAAGTGCCTTCATGAATATGGACACAAAAATCTTAAACAAAAAGCTAGCAAACCAAATCTAGTAATACACACAAAGGACGGTGACCATGACCTGTAGGATTTATCCCAGAAATAAAAGGTGGTCCAACATACAAAGTCAATCATGTTCATGCATCATATTAATAAAGGAAAAACCCACATGATCATTTCAATAGATATAAAAAAAAAGTACTTGACAAAATCCAACACTCTCTCATGATAAAAACATTCAACAAACTAGGAATAGAAGGGAACTTCCTCAATTTGCAAAAGGGCATCTATAGAAAAGTTCACAGCAAACAGCGTACTTAATGGTGAAAACAGGATGCTTTCTCCTGAGATCAGGAACAAGACAGGGATGTGCACTCTTGCCAGTGCTATTCATCATTGTACAGGAGGTTCCAGCCAGGGCAATTAGGCAAGACAATGAAATAAAAGACATCCAAATAGGAAAGGAAAAAGTAAAATGATCTCATTTGTAGATGACATGACCTTGTATACAGAAAATCCTAAAGAATCTACAAAAAAGTTATTAGAACTAATAAACAAGTTTATCAAGGTTTCCAGATACATGATCAATACATGAAAACTTACACTAGCAATGAACAATCTGAAAATAAAATTAAGAAAATAATTCCATGTACATACAAAAAAATAAAAAACTTAGGAATACATTGAACAAAAATAGTATAAAATGGCCCTGGCTGGTTTGGCTCAGCGGTTAGAGTGTCGGCCCACAGGCCAGGGAGTCCTGGGTTCAGTTCCCACGAACAGTGTGTACCTCGGTTGCAGTTCATCCCCCACCCGGGTTGGGGTTGTGCAGGTGGCAACCAATTAATGTGTCTCTCTCACATCGATGTTTCTCTCTCTCTCTTCTTCCCTCTCTCCCTCCTGCTGTATCTGAAGATAAATGCAAAAACATCCTCGGGTGAGGATTAAAAAAAAAAAAAAGTAGTATAAAACGTATACTCTGAAAACCATAAAACTATTGAAAGAGATTTAAGAATATCTAAATAGCCCTGGCCGGTTTGGCTCAGTGGTTAGAGTGTCGGCCTGTGGTCCAGAGAGACCTGGGCTCAGTTCCCGCTAAGGGCATGTACCTCGGTTGCAGTTTGTCCCCGGCCCTGGTTGGTTGTGTGGATGGCAGCCACTCGATGTGTCCCTTTCATGTCAATGTTTCTCTCTCTCTTCCTCTCTCTCCCTCCCACTCTATCTGAACAAAAAATGGAAAAATGTCCTCGGGTGAGGATTGAAAAAAACCAAAAAAACCTACAAATCTTCTAGAAGAAAACATAAGCATAGATCTTCTTTTATTATTATTATTATTATTTTTTATCCTCACCCAAGGACATTTTTCGATATTTTGCTCAGATAGAGTGGGAGGAAGAGAGAGAGAGAGAGAAACATCGACGTGAAAGGGACACATCGAGTGGTTGCCACCCACACGACCCAACCAGGGCTGGGGACAAACTGCAACTGAGGTACGTGCCCTTAGTGGGAACCGAACTGGGGTCTCTCTGGACCACAGGCTGACATTCTAACTGCTGAGTCAAACCGGCCAGGGCAGCATAAATCTTCTTAACCTAGGATTAGGCAATGGTTCTTAGTACACCAAAAGCACTACAACTAAATAAAAACATATATAAATTAGACTTCATCAAAATAAGGAACCTTTGTGCAAAGGACATCATAAAGAAAGTGAAAAGACAATGGGAGAAAATATTTGTAAATCGTCTATCTGAGCCTGGCTGGCATAGATCAGTGGTTGAGCATCGACCCATGCACCAAGAGGTCACCGGTTCATTTCCTGGTCACAGCACATGCCCAGGTTGTGGCTAAATCCCCAGTGGGGGGCATGCAGGAGGCAGCCAATTGATGTTCTCTCTCATTGATGTTTCTATCTCTCTCTTCCTCTCCCTCTCTCTCAAATCAATAAAGAAAAAAAAAATCACCTATCTATTAAAGATCTGGTATCCAGAATACATAAAAGAGTCTTACAACTCAACAAAAAAGATGAATAACCCAATCCAAAAATGAGCAAAGTATGTGAATGTACAATTATCCAAAGAAGTTACACAAATGACCAATATGAACATGAAAACATACTCAACATCATTAGTCATTAGGGAAATCAACTCGAAACCACAGTGGCATGGGATCTAATGAACAGCATGGTAACTATAGTTAATAATACTGTGTTATGTATTTGAAAATTGCTAAGAGTAGACCATAAAAGTTCTCATTACAAGAAAAAAAAACTATAACTACGTATCATGATAAATGTTCACCAGACTTACTGTGGTGATCAGTTTGCAATATATCCAAATTGAATTATTATTATGCTATATACCTGAAAGTAATATATGTCAATTACATCTCAATTGAAAAAACAGTTGAATTATAATAAAAAGTGCCAATCTGGATCAGATACTGTTCTAATAGAAATTGAAACATTCAGCAACCTATATAATACACAAATTAACCTTTCTTGTTTCAACACATTTTTTACCCTGTAAACAAAAACAAACCCACAATAAGATACCACTTTACACCTACCAGGATGATCAGAATAAAAAAAGAAAAACTGGGTAAGGAAAATTTTTTGGTGAAGAAATTGGAACCCTCATGCATGCTGGTAGAACGTGAAATGGTGCAGCCGCTGTGGAAACAGTTTGGCAGTTCCTTAAAAAGTTAAACGTGCCATCACCATGTGACCTGAAATTCCACTTAAAGCAGCGTGCCCAGCAGAACTGAAATGCATGCCCCCACGAAGACTTGGCGTGGATGTCCACAGCAGCGTTACTCACAAAAGCCAGAAAGCAGGAACATCCCCAGTGTCCATCAGCTGATGAACAGATAAACAAAATGTAATATATCCATCCAGCGGATGTCATTCAGTCATACAAAGAATGAAGTACTGATAATGCTACCCCTTTAACTGTAAACTTAGAAAACATGATGCTCAGTGAAAGGTAGCAGAAAAGGCCACCTATTGTACGATTCCATTTGTATGGAAGGAGCAAACGCACAGATATGGAAAGATCAGTGGCTGCCAGAGGCTGAGGGTGTGGGGGTTCTGGGAGAAAAGGGAGTCACTACTCAGGGCTTCTTTTTGGGGCAATGGAAAGTGCTGGAATTTGAGAGTAATAATTGTTGCACAACTCTGTCGATACACTAAAAACCACTGGGCTGTATACTGTAAAAGGGGAAATTATAACTCTAACAAAATAATATAAAACTGTCAGAAGAAAAACGAAGAAAGGTGCTGACCAAAGGAGTCAGGTAACAAGAGGTGCCTTCTCTAAAGAGACTTTGAGAGCAGTGATGAAACTAAGCAGTCAGCCTGCCTGCCATTACCACTGGGCACCCACAGTGCCCAACATCTTCTCACTGGCCGCTGTTCTGCACCCTCGTGTCTGCACAGCGCTTTCTAAGCCACAAAGTGCCACGTGCACAGTGCTGCACTCACTCTCCCCGGAGCCCTGTGAAGGAGGAAGAGCCACACGGAGCCTCCCTGTGGCCGTGACCGCTAACCAGTGACCTGAAAGAACTCCAGACCGACTCCTGTTCCATTGTCGGGCCGCCCAGCACACGCCCCAGGTCCGAGGGGCAGGACTGATGGTCCTCATGTCTGGCCCTGCACCTTGCCCCTCGACTCTGTCACCCCATCCCTGAGTTATGACGCCCAAAATGTAGACGTTATGAACACGGGGCTTTACCCAAGCCCTGGGCTTCCTTCCTGTGACATTCAAGCATTTCTTTTGTTCAAAGATGAACCACTCCTGCCCCTCTGCGGCCTCTGCATGACAACTTATGTTTTTCTTTCCAAACAAGTCACACAATGGGGACCAACAGCCCCCTTATTACAAATTTCAACAGAAATGTACTCAGCATAGCAACCAAGGCCATTAGATCTTTCAGGGAACTGTTCACTGGAGTCAGACTCCTGCTTCTGATTCAGCGGCGGAACAGTCAACAGCAAGAGAAAATCATTTAGAATACATTGTGAATTGAGATACTGGGCACTGGGAACAGTGGGAGCTAGAATTTCTCGAATAAACCAGGAAAGGCACTCACAAAATGCTGATACTAATAGATTATCTCCATGACAAAATTTTAAGTGACTTTTACTTTCTTCTTTACAATTTCGGATATTGATTTTAAAAATTAATGCTCATTTTGTAAAAAGTTAGAAACAAAATATTTTTATTTGGGGGGAGAAAAAATTCAGTGTTGGCTGAGATTTTAACAATCTGTTCAGCTCTAAATTCCACAAACTTAAAATTCCAAGTTTGGGAGGCCAATGAATGGGGCCCACCTTGTTCCTGGACACACGCCTCTGCCCCTCTTTGCTGGGAGGCCCACCTATGCAGCCGAGGCGCTGGTTCCAACAAAAGCATCCTAACAGCTTCTGTCCCACAGAGAAGTAACTTGGCAATCCGTTAACTCGAGCTTACCTGGACAGGTGGCTCAATCATTATCCAGGCCGGAAGCATCAGACTGGGGTTCAGAGGCTGGGTTCCCACACGGAAGTACACGCCTCCCCGGGAATCACAAGCCCACACGTGCTGATTTCCACATGCCAAGCTCGTCAGTTTTATAGCTCCTGGAGACAAGGAAAGGAAACACACAAACACGAATTACTTTTTTTTTAATCCTCATCTGAGGATATTTTTCCATTATTTTTCAGATAGAGTGGGAGGGAGAGAGAGAGAAACATCAACATGAGAGGGATACATCTACTGTTTGCCTCCCCCAACCAGGGCCGGGGACAAACCGCAACCGAGGTACGTGCCCTAGACCGAAATTGAACCCGTGACTCATTGGTCTGCAGGCCGATGCTCTAACCACTAAGCCAAACCGGCCAGGGCACGAATTACTTTTGTAAAATGACTAATCTTTTATTGAATCTATCAACTTTGATTAAAACAAAAAAATTTTTCTTTATTGATGTTAGCGAGAGAGGAAGGGAGAGGGAGAGATAGAAACATTGATGAGAGAGAACAATGACTGGCCGCCTCTTGTATGCCGCCCACTGGGGATCAGGCCCACAACTTGGGCATGTTCCCCGATCAGAAATTGAACTGGTGAACTTTTGGTACACTGGTCGACGCGCAACCACTGAGCCACACAGGCTGGCTATCAACTTTGATTTTTGTACTGCAAAGGAATTTACAAGGAGCGTGACTAAGGCCTCTGGCTGCTCTGCCACCTGCCAGAGGCCACACAGCAGCCCTTCTGTGGCAAGGCGAGGCAGCCCAGAAGCCGCAGCATGGTGCCCTGAGCCACCAAGCATGGGACTGGCATCTCCACATGGGTGCATGGTTAGTGCCACCAGATAATGTGACTATTACCAGCAAATTCTGGATTAGGGAAAAGGAACTCATCTTTACAGGTAACCTTTTTTTTTTTTTTTTTTTTAATTTTTTTTCTTTATTGATTTTAGAGAGAGAGGAAAGGAGAGGGAGATAGAAACATTGATGAGAGAGAACATCGATTGGCCGCCTCCTGCATGCTCCGCACTGGGGATCAGGCCCATGACCTGGGCATGTGCCCTGACCAGGAATTGAACCGGTGACCTCTTGGTTCATGGGTTGGTGCTCAACCACTGAGCCACACCAGCCGGGCTTTACAGGTAATCTTGATGCTAACTAGAATTAAAGTGAACTAACAAAGACTCCCTGAATCTTCCCTCTTCCGTTTCTCTCTCTCCTTGCTGAGGAAGCTGATTTGAAGAGGATGGAGCCTTTAAAGAGAAGCTGCATTTGACTGACAGTCTATTGGCAGAAGAGCCACAGCGGCAGCCATCACCGACTGGCCATTGCAGGACAGGCTCGCAGCCGTTTTCACAGCCTCACTTCGAACCTCACCACAGCACCCCAGTCCACACGAGGCCTTCGGGACTCAGACACGAAGACTTGTTCAAGGTCCCACGGCGAGGGCGTGGCTAAGCCAGGAGGCTGAAGGTGAGCTGAGGCTAGCCTGGCTTCTCCACACCAGCTAACTGTCCTCTGGGACGCCATGTCCAGGGAGCAGACCTCATGGTTCAGTTCAATCAGCTTTGACAAATGGACATATCTGGGTAACCCACATCCTGCCAAGTCATGGAACATTTCAACACCCCCGAGAATTCCCTCAGGCCCCTTCCGGTCACTCCCTCTGCCCCAGGCAACTGCTCCTCGGACTTCTATCCCCGTAGACGAGTCCAGCCTGGTCTAGATGTCCACGGCATCACAGGTACACACTCTGGGTGTGGCTTCTTTCACTCAGTGTCACTTCCTTCACGGCTGAGGATTATTCCATTGCACTGACCACCAGTTATCCGGTCCATTCACCTGAAGATGCACATTTGGGCCAGTTCCACTTTTTGCAATTAGGAGTAAAGCTGCTCTTATGATTCGTGCAGATTTTTTGGGAACATGTGCTGTTTCCCATTTTTTTTTTTTTAATACATGTTTTTATTGACTTTTTAGAGGGAGAGAGATAGAAACATCAATGTGAGAGAGAAGCATCTCTCAGCTGCCTCCGACACGACCTCTACTGGGGATTGAGCCTGCAATCCGGCATGTGCCCTGACCAGGAATCGAATGATGCTCAGTCCACTGAGTCACACCAGCAGGACTGTTTTTCTTGAATCATACCTAGAAGTGGAACTGCTGGGCCACAGGGCAGATGTTCACCTTTTAAAGAACCCCCCTGTGTCCCCAGCTGACCATACTGCTCCCAGCACCCCGGTGGCACCTTTTCACCAGCCATCCTAGTAGGTGTGAAGTGGAATCCTACCGGGGTTTTGACCTGCGGTGTTGGGGATCTCTGTGCTCAAGGGCACTTGTGTGACTTCTCTTGAGAAGTGTCCATTCCAGTCTTTCACCCATTTTTCAAGCTGAACTAGGTCGGAGGATGTCGTTTGGACTTTACAACTGGGGAAAAGGTGCTGCAGTTGCATTCGCTGGCACAAGGCTCTTGGCCACCTCCCACAGTTGTCGCTGGCATCAGGTGACAGCCATGTGTCTGCAGAACAGGCTCGGGTCCTGCTATGTGGCAATCCTGTCACGTGCCTTTGGCATGTGACAAACCTAAAAGTATTGACTCCATTACACAAAAAGTTCTCAGTACTCCTTTGTGCATTTCCCAGATGATGATTTCTCTTACACTGAAATGAACTATATTTTTTCCTCCCTTAATCTTTTATAGAATGTCTTACCAGGGAGTTCAATCAGACTCCCTAGGGTACTAAATTATATATGAAAAGATCTGTACCGATCACAATAAAGTAGCTTCAGCAGTAAACCCCAGAAATAGCGGAGGAGAAATGCTAACTGAAAGGTAATTCTGTGCTGGCGTCTTCAGCTGGCCCTGAGGAATTCCGGGCAGTGGCTGCTCCAGGAACTCACGTGGTCGCAGCAGCACCCCGGTCGGCCTTTCAGAGTGTACAGGGAACACCACCACTGGCAGAACACGGGGTTCACCTGACAAGGAGGACATTCCCTTAGAACAAATTCAAAGGGCTGCTAGAATGTAAACTGCAGTATGCAAACCAGCTTATTCTGGATCAAGGAGACAGGTTACAGATGTTCCATGAGAGCTACTCTGCCATGTCCTGCCTCACAGAGGGTCTCCCAGGCTGCTGTCAGTCCACAGAGGAGACAGGTGAGACAGGTGGCAGACACGACTGCCCTCCACACTCCATGGCTCCCCGGCCAGTGGGCTGTGAGTAGAAGTGATGTTACTTCTGAACTGAACCATGAGAGCTGGCACTGGGCATCGCGGCTGACCCTGCTGCGGTGACCAAGATGCTGGTGCCAGAGCACCCTAGTGGGATCAGTAAGCTGCCACCCAGGGGATGACCATCCATGACACTGACAGGCTGAAAGCCGCGCTTGTGGGAGAGGAAGGCAGTGCTCACCGTGAAGTCGCTGATACTGGGGCTTGTCACTACATAGCCCTGAGAGACACACAGCAATTCTCCTGCTTCTTTCTGTTTTGTTTTTCTCTCCCATTAAACAAAAAGTTTTATTTACTTTATTCATCGTTATCAGACAACTCCCCTTAACAAAAAGTGTTGTCTATTTGGTGTTTTCCTACTTATAAAACAATTTTCTGCCTAAGTCACTAAAGGCATGACCCGACACGGAGTACTTGCTCGTCCAGTGCGGAGGCCGGATGGATTACAATTACAAACTGCATCACTGTGCTAACCTCCTGGGGTGACTGACACACTGCTCACGTGCACACCAGAGCATTTAAACACCTGCCAAATGATGCAAACCTGCTTCTGGACACTAGGGCTGCACAACACCACAGTCCACACTGTCTTTATCACTGGGTTCAACAGCTAGACATTTAGTATAAGGACTCCCTTCATGACACCTCAGAGCAGCAAAGGACTTGGTGGCTTGTACGGGGGTACAGAAGAGGGAGGCTACATCTTCAAGAAGAAATTAAAGGTAGAAATTGTGTTTGTGATTTGACACTTGCTAATGTCATCCTTGAAACTGCAACTTCCGTTTGCAATGTGGAGCAGACCAGTGACATTCCAGACCTTACAACGACCTGGCACTACCCAAAGTCAATGCTGGCATGAAGTAGTCTAGCTCACGCTGTCAGCGCCGAGAAGACAGGTTACCACTTTAACGTCTTGAGGTCAGGCACAGAAAGGCCAGGACTCAGAGAAGAAAGGAGCTAAGCACACCTCTGCACAGCTCTGATGAACCCAGCATCACCTGCCTCGTGCCCCGGGCAGGCAGGTGGCAACTAACGAACGCGTTGTGGCAGCACCGTGTATCTGCATCTTAGGCAGTTTTATGTGTGGGTATTAGTAAGGAATGAAACTCGTATCCCAGAATCACTTAGAAATGGAGCTACACACCATGACAACTTTCCCTGACAGTTTAATTTCCTGACAGGCCGGATGTGGTCCCTGCCCACAGAGCACCCCACTCCGTGTGTGGACGCCTCAGGATCAGACTGACAGGGCTCCTGAGACAGAGCAGGAGCCATGTTCAGGGGACACAGTGGGCAAGGTGTCATGACGCAGTACTGCTGGGGAGAGCTGAGGGCACGGACGTCTCGCCTGAGGTCTGCGGGAGCAGAGCTGAAGAAAGGAAAGAGCAGAGAGGACATCCCAGGCCCCAGGGAGGAGCAGGCAGAGCGGAGCTGCGGGCGCAGGCTGGGCCAGGCTGCCAGCGCCCTGGTGCCACCTGAGGGCCGGAACTTGATTCTTGTGGCGATGCTGCCGGAAACCACCAGGGCTGTGCTTCAGGAGGGCGGGCACGCCGGGAGCCGTGGGCGGTTGCTGTGGCAGTGCAGGTGGTGAGTGGGGCTCTGCCCCAGCCGTGACGCGAGGGAAGCCAGGACGAGACGGCCCAGAGAGCTCCCAGGGCAGGGGGAAGAGACGCCCTGACCGCAGCGGCCGGGAGAGAAGCACAGCAGGCAGCCTGGGCCGGCGGGAGTCAGTGGCAGCAGAGTGGAGCCAGGAAGAGTGTGGCTGGGAGAGGTTGACACTGAGCAGGCTCCTCACGGAGAGCCGAGCCCTGAGAAGGCTGTGCACCTGCCGCTGCTGTGAGCACCCTCCACGCCCACTTTCACGGGAGCGAGCAGGCTGGTCAGGCCAGCAAAGCGTTCCCTAGACTGCACCCTGCTGGCCACCCGATGCGCTGCCTGATGACAGCCTGCCACAGCACGCAGTGGGGTGCTGGGCAGTGAGCACACACAACTCACATCCTGCACTCCCTAATTATTTTTTAATCCTCACACATGAATATTTTTCCACTGATTTTCAGCTAAGTGGGAAGGAGGGAAAGAGAAAGAGAGAGAAACATTGATGTGAAAGAGACACACTAACTGGTTGCCTGCATGACCCCAACCAGGGCCGGGGATCGAACTGCTATCGAGGTACGTGTCCCTAACTGAAATCGAACCTGCAACTCTTTTGGTCCTGAGCCAATGCTCTAAGGCTGGCCAGGACCCCTAATTTAAATAATAATTAAAAACCCTCATTTACCTGTTTGTCCCAGACTACACAGACCACACTTGGCGAGAACCCAATAATGGAATACACGGTGGCCCAGCCGTGGCACTGTGAAAGGCCAGCACCCCCGACACTGCACCCTGCCCACCTTGAGGTCCCAACATAAAACCTACAACTCTGGACTTGCTGCATTCCCCCAGGGACGTCAGAAATGGGGAAAGCAGTCTTTCTGCATCACGTCAGTATCAGCCAGTCACCCAGACAAATCCACAGAACCTAGAATATGAGCCGTGCTTCCTGGAATTGCCCCCACCACCGTGAACCCCCCCCAGCCTGCCGTGTTGTGTAGCTGATGATGGCTTGAGAGTGATCTCACGTGGCATGTCGCACCTGCCCCAGACAGTCCACATTTACACCGGATGCTTACTCGCACCTCTCTGGGGCGGGCACTACTGTCCCCATTAGAAAGGTGAGGAGCTGGGGTTGACAGGGAAACCAGCAGCACGCCCGGGGCCAGCTCTGCATCGGGCCAGCACTGCCTCTGGGTCTGCCACTTGCCACCTGCTCTCTGTGTGACTCGTTCCAGGTTTGGCTGGATCCTGGCACTGATTTGCTAACAGCGAATGTGCAGGCAGGAGGCAGGGCGGCTCAGTCCCTCTGCTCCTGCACTGCGCCTGCAGCAAGCACTTCCTGCCTGTGCTTTAAACGGCCAAGCACATCCTGGACTCAGAATGGCCTTGGTATGGCTTCCCTCCACTCTCAAATGAAGACTCTATCCTACCAAAGCTGAGTTTCTCCCCAGAAAGAATGGCCACCACCCCAATGAAGCCCAAGGGCACCTCCGAGACCTGCCCTGGTCCAGCCTGCCAGCTGGCACCAGGAGGACCAGGCTGAACATGAAGGGAGGCAGCGCTGTGGGCTGGAGCCTAGAGGCCTCGGGCAGAGCTGGTGCCACTGGGTGCAGCCAGGCACAACACCCACTCACTGCATCTAAGCTCTCAGCAGAGGGAGCACACAACCATGCCTGGGCTTCGTACCTCTATAAGGAACCTGCGGCATCTCCCATGGTCTGGCTGGGGCCATGGAGACAGGCTTGGGCTGGTGGGCTCTCTGAATACACAAAAGGCTCCCTGGGACAGGTGAAGGGCCACGGCCAGCCACAGCCTCGCTGGGTCAGTCACTGTCAGTAACAACAGCTGGCAAATGCTCTCAAAAGCAGGAAGGTGTCTGGTCCTGGTGCTGGGATTAGGTCCAAAGACAGTGTGTCAGGCCAAAAGCATGAAGAGTCAAAAGGTCCCAGCTTTGGACAGAGCGCGCTTGTCTAGTTGAGAATCAACCTGCTTCTTTAGTTAAGTGTACCATGTTTGGGGGTCTTACTAGACAACAGAATGAAGACAGGTGTGCATGGTGCCCTTGAGCCACATGGGCTGAGACCAGCTGTATGGGTGGTGAGCGGCCCCGGCAGCTGGAGAAGCAGACAGCACATCCTCCTTGCTCCCTTCTTGCTTTCTCTCTCTCCTTCTGTGTGTGAGTACGTGTGACTCAATTCTTAAACATCAAGTGCTTAATTAAATTAAACAAACAAACAAATAAACAAACAAAATCAAGTGCTTATACAAACAAAACTACTGGCTATCAGTTTGCCAGCACGGGGGACAGAATGACTGAACATCTCTGAGGCTCATGAGGGCCCTCTGGAGCCCTGGCATGCTTTCTGCCTTCAGACCAGCCACGCCCAACCTGCTCTTCAATCAAGAACTCGCCGGGAGAACAACCTAATGTTATGGGCTCATTCTATTATCTTATTTCTTGGAACATGAATCAATTATTTATAAACAGCACCAGGCTACTTGGCCTGCTCTGTAACCCCGGGGTGGGGGGAGATTCAGAGATTAGCTGGACACCCACAGCATCTCTCCAGTCTGATTGAGAACCGACCCTTGCTTGCTGAGCGGCTATTCTGCGCTGGGAGGAGACAGGTAAACAGGACGCTGATCCTGGCGTAGGACACGCCCATCCTTCCAGACTAAAAGGCAGGAGGCAGCGTGCCACACTCAGACACCGGCAGAGGCAGTGGCACCCACAGGATTACTTGAAGCAGTTCTCTGTGGGGAGCTGCCTCTGGGTCTGTGCTCCTCCTGCTTCTGGAAACCCTGCAGACCGAAGTGGGGAGCCAAACTCCTACAAAATGAAGAGGCCCACTTACTCTGCAAGAGGGGCTAATCGACCTCCTGATATCCAGCAACTTACAAAACGTCATACAAGCACTTGCGCACGCCGAGCCCAGGGAACCTGTCAGCGGCACAGTCAGTGCAGCTTAAGGCAGGTGTGCCACACAAAACGCATACCTAGCTGGGAAAGGTCCAGCCGCGTCCAGTGCATGCCGGTGGGGCAGCTCTGGGAAAGCGTCCTGATGAACACCTGGCCCAGGCTGTCCAGCGCCCACAGAGCGTCTTGGCAGGCGGCGTAGGCCCTCATCTCGGTGTCGGGAGGCAGCTGCACTGTGGACAGGCGGGACTGGGCGTGCTGGGCGCCGACGCTGTACAGGTCTTTGCTGCCCTGGCACAGCCACAAGGAGCTTCCTGCGGAAAAGGTTCACATGTGTCACTGAAGACAGCACCAGGCAGTCTTTGCCTTTGGGCAGCTGACACCTGATGGCTCCCCCATTTGCTCACCACGTGACGGAAGATTGCTTTACGTTAGAGTCAGAGGGGCACCTGTGACTCAGCAAGAAACAAGCCGAGGACAGTTTAAAGAAATGAAAGAAGCAGGGCCAATGAGATTCCACGGAGCTATGATGTGGCCTGACTCGGTGCTCCATCAGTGCTCCGGAAGAAGTGGGGTCAGCAGGACCCCGAAGCACAGCACCCCGGAGCTCACCTGTGCTGCTGCAGTGGGCTGAGGGGCAGGCCTGCGTGGGAGGATGCTGCTGGAGGAGGCTCCCAAAGCTGGAGAGCCTTCTCTTCTCATCCCTGCGCCATTTTTTGAGTCCTTAGGTTCAGTAGATTCAGCTTAAAATGTAAATAACCCTCAGGGAAGTTAAAACCTTGGCCACAATGTATTATCTAAATTATTACCTAAAACTTGTAGCCATGTCTGTTTTGTAATTCAGTTTCTTTGTATTTTGAAACCCATGGCAATGGGCACGCCTTACACTGACGTCCCAGCCCCGGGGAGCTGGGCAGCACCTGTGAAGCGCAGTCACGATCAGCAGCGGGACAGCCTGGCAGCAGCTCAGGTCAGGTTTGGCTGCCAAATGAATTTGTGCCAAACTCAGGAACTAACCTACGGTTTTCAGAGCTTACTGATTTCAGAACTGTGGTCAGAACAACCTGGCGAGAAAGCATCTTATTGCTCTGACCACGTTATCCACTTCCTAGTGGTGCTGATGCTTGAACGAACCCACCGCTGCCCCTGAACCACAGACTGCACGGCGTCCTCTCAGCTGCCTTTCAGTGCAGTTTGGGGAGATGGCCCCAGCTCCTTCCCAGGGGGGCACTGACTGTGCAGGCCCCCTGCACTGCCACTCCTGGCTCCAAGCCCCGTGCTCTAGGAGGGCTGGGTTCTGATGGGAGAGAGGAGGCCTGCCCCTGTAGGGGTCTGCCCTGGTAGGTCCCAACCGTGGGACTTCAGCCAGCCAGAGACTGTAAAGCAGGTGGGAAGAGGCTGCTGGGAAGTGACAGAATTTACAAGAGGAAATGAGGAGGCGCCCAAGAAGTGGGGTGTCCTCCTGGCTGCTGTGCTTTGGCCCAGCGACATGTCACTGGAAGTTACCGGCTGCCGGCCCTCGAGGCTACAGTGTGTCCCCTCCTTCAGGACACTCTGCCTTTAGACTCCCCAGCTTCACTGCTCTGGATCCTTCTCTCCTGGTCAGGAGTGTACAGCCTCAGGGGCCCTCAGCTCAGCCAATAAGGCTACTTCCTGTGACACCACCCCACATTGCCTCCGAGGTCCACACAGCCTCGCCCCCATCCCAACGAGGCCACAGGTGGACCATGGCTTTAACTGAGCCACTGCCAAGCTGCGCACTGGGCTTCTCCACCAACCTTCCCTTGAGGGGGCAGTGGAGGCCAACACAAAGGCCCATTTTGTGGCAGAAGCTGTCCCCCGGGGAACAACATTGCTCCAGTAAGTGCCTAGAAAAAAGAAACAAAAAGAGCATGTTAAAGAAAGAAGAAAAAACCCACATTCAGAGCATTAGTTCTAGATTATAATTGGCCTTCAGAACCTCACAGCTGGTTCGAGTGTGGCCTTAAACTGGGAGGTCTAAGCCAGCACCGTGAGAGCCCGCCCCTTGTTTCTCTGTGGACATGGACAGGCAGAGCCACAATCTTGCCCAGAGCTGGGGGAGGCCCAGGAGAATTTTCTGTGGGAGGAGAGCTAGAGAAAATTCACAAAGCACGGGTTCATTCACAGAAAGGAAGCCAGGTCCGTGCGTGTGGACTTACACCTATGTTTACAGACCTGGCCAGAGCCCTGCATTTCCAACAGCATGATAATTTTCCCTCTAGGAAATGGACTATTCTCTCCTCCTGGGCTCTTCAGGTTTGGGTGGCTTTTAAAATTTTAAATGTGAAATTATTAATAGAAAACAGCTCCATTTGCTTTGTATCATAACAGGTTCCCAGTGGAAACTGATCGCACACCATCAGACACCGAGATCCAAGTTGCAGCAGTGACAAATTAAGAAAGAAGACGTGTATTGAGCATGAAGAATGCCTCCATCACAAACACTTCTACCACCAGCACTATACCAGCTTCTCAGGCCGAGAGCTTCAAGCTTTCCTTTAAATGCTGGCTTCTGGTTTGGCTTAGCGGTTAGAGTATTGGCCCTCTGACTAAAGAGTCGCAGGTTCGATCCCCAGCCTCAGTTAGGGTCATGAGGGAGGCAACCAACAGATGGGTTTCTCCCACACCAATGTTTCTCTCTCTCTCTCTCTCTCTCTCTTCCTCCCTTTGTCCCTCCCATTCTATCTACAAATCAATGGAAAAATATCCTTAGGTGAGGAGAAAAAAAAAATGTTGGCTTTAACATAAAGCTGCCACCAAGCCAACGTGAAAGTCTAAGTAATCCACCCACCGATGAGATTTCCCTTGGCGACGTGGAGTTCGTTCTTGCCCGAGGAGATCCAAACGCCACTGTTGTTGACCCCCAGAAGGCTTGGCTGGCACTGAAGTTGCTGAGACCAAAATGCCATGCGCAGTTTATCTGCCACCTTTTCCACGGGCACTTGTGCTGCTGTAGCCACTGAGTGCGTGGCATGCATTATGGTCTGGAATAAGCTGCACTGGTCGAACACCACGTAGTCTGTGATGCTCACCTGGAGGGGACATGGGCAGACATGGTGTTATAGTGCGTCCTGGTGCTCCCTGCCAGACAGGGAGGTTCCGCCCAGGTCCACCAAACACCCCAACACATGGCACATGTGTGTCAGTGTGAGGGCGGAGGAAAATCTAGCAGGACACCACCACACTACTAACTGTAATCACTCCGAGAGCTGGCTTTAGAGGTGCAAGAAAACGTTCACCTTTTCTTCTATACAGTTTTATATCACATGGATCTGTTACAAGCATGTGATTGAACATCACCCCTCACTCTCTTAAGTCTTTTGTCCTAATCAGTGAGAAAGAATTATTTTGCTTTCAAATTTAGGTATTTACCATGGACAACAGTGTACAACAGTTAGACTCATAATATGGATGAAAAAGGTATAATAAGTAATTTACGATCTAAACCAGGACTGTTAATAACTATGCCAGGCCAGCAGCCTACAGCGGGACCGCAGGCGGTGCCCTGGCTTGGACGTAGGATCACTGGATTCTCTAATGTTCCTGAAAGATGCTTCTCCAGGGTGCCTCCCCGAGGAAACCTCTCCGTTCTTTCTAAAAGGCGACTCAAAATCTGATTCCTCTGGCTTTCACGCACATGGCTGTCCTGCTGGGTTTGACCATAGGGAACGTCACTGCCCTATTCCTAGGACAACCTTGTGCAGGTCACATGCCCAGGTCACATAGAGTGAAGTGCTGAGTGAAGGAGACATCGTTTATTATAGAGACCTTACTTTATAAAACAAAAACAAAAGGAGACCCCTGTAAAAATCAGTGCACGAACACTGCCCTTTGTGCGTGTGCACTGCTCTCCTGAATGACGGTGGGGCAGAGGTTTCCCCACGTGGAGCCTGGAGCCTGGGCTGTGACCGCTCAGGGAGCTCGCCCGCCGGTGTGTGTGCACCGCTAAGGCCACACTGAGGTCTAGGGCAGACTCAGTCCCAGCACCCAAGATTTGCAGATAAGCAGAATGCAAATTTATACAAAGAAAGGTTTAGCAACCAAACATAATGCTGGCTCTTGTGCTACAAAGAATCAGTCTTACAGTGATTATAATAACTGCTTTCCAATACCTCCAAGATGGTTCTGTCATTAAATCTCTCTAAAGATGATGTTCTGAATGTTATGACAAAATGTTATCTAGTTTTCTTTAGGCTATTTAAAAACAGAACTTAGTGCACATATGCAAGTGAGTGTGTGTGCTTTATATGTATATAAAACCATATAATATGGTTACAAGTACAGAGAAGGTATTTTAAAGTCACTCGTATGACTTTTTGAGTGGTACCTGGCATACTGAATTAGAGACATATGTACACATACATATGATCATATGGAACAAACACACCTGCTTTTGCCACATTCTCACCCAAGTGACCTACAAGCACCAAGGCCAGTCTGAGGTGACAATGAAACCTGAGCCAATGGAGCCATAACACTGAAGGGACGCTGCGTGTTTCACAGCTGCCGAGGGTCGGTACAGGCGTAGCTCTGCCGTGGGAGACACTGGGACCAAAGGGAAAAGCAGACACTCCTTGGAAAACCCATTCTAGCCACTTGGGTTGGTACCAAGTCACAAAAAGGTAGCTTGATTATACCCTCCTGTTTCCCAAAGACCTTTCTTTCCTGGAAGCATATGGAAAAATTCTTTCTCTGTTGAAATATCACTTACTTAGAGGACTTTCGAACAAGCAGAGATAGGTGAATTTTAATTGTGGGTTGGGCTTTCTAAACCTACTGCCCAGTCTCTTGTCTTTGCTGTGTTCAGAATTTAACACCATCATCACCCAGGTCTTCGAATGGATGTCGAGGGTTTGTCTCACACACACTAGATCTCCGGACAACACCCAGCTAGACACACAGCCTGCGCACTGAAGCACAGCAGGCTTTACAAGCTCTTGCGAGATGGAAAGCCCTTCATGTTTCTAATGTGCTGGGATACAGCAAAGTCCAACTCATCACACAGGAAAACGGAATACTGTCAATTTAATGCAACCTCCCCAATCTCTTGAAGGAAAAGAGAGGGGCAACAAATGGGGAGCAGAACCCCGATCCCAGGGAGACCCCGCACGCGGCCTGGAGCTGAACACCTACTTGCCACCAGTGGTCGTCATCTCCTTGGGGCTTGTTGGAGACGACGCCCGTTCTGAACCACAGGTTTCCATGGATGTCCAGGGCCCACAGAGTCTGCTGGTCCCCGAGGGTTATGCAGACAGGTTCCAGAGCTTGTCTTTCACTGGAAACAGAGGAGGATGTGGGAGTCAGCACCTAGTCAAGGCCCCAGTGGGCCTAGGAATGCCGGCAGCAGGTGTGTCCTGGGGGGTTCGGCCTGGGAGAAGAGATGCCCCGCCCACAAGGTCCAAGGAAGGAAGCCTGAATTTCGAGTTAAATTACTATGCAACATAATTTGTTCAAATGTATTAGAATTCTGAAAGACACACTGAAGACCCAGAACGATGGAAAAAGCTCTTGGGAGAAAATAACCTAAGAAAGAAGTGAGCAGACACAGAAGGAATTCAGGCCCTGAAGCGCCTCCATCTCACTACAGCCTCCTTCATCAGGGTGCCAGGCTGGGCTAGGCAGCTGCAGCTGGGCAGACACTCTCTCTGGGCTGTGCCCTGCCCCCAGCTGGTGCCATCCTCACCAGCCTCCAGGCTCAGCTGCGGGTCCACTCTGCAGGTGGAGCCGAGGTGCCCTCAGTGCTGTGCGCTCTGCTCGCTGGTTCAGGACCATCTGCACTCACCGAATCGCTCAGTTTACATGGTTCCTCAGTCTGGGAGCTCCGTGAGGGCAGGGCCGTGGCTCAGTCATCTTTGCACCCCCAGCCCAGTAGTTCTGGCTTACCATAGGTACTTGCTCAAATTTCCTGGGTTGCTAAATGCAAACCAATAACCTAATCTAATTTTTCTAAGGACTATCAAGAATATCACATTAGCAAAATGATTTGACAGTAATTCGGTCATTAAAATTTCGAATGGTACAATATAACCAAATAAATTACAATTCAGAGGTCAATTTCAGTTGACTAAGATAATAATAAGAAAACTATTTGGCCCTAAAGCATCCGAGATTCTAAACAGAAACTACCTCGCACTGGGCAGTTCTGAACACTGTGATGAGAGCCTTGTGGCCGTGTGAGGCTCGACGTTACACAAGAGGCAGCAGCGCCCTGGCCAGTGTGGCTCGGCGGTTAGAGCGCTGGCCCAGGGACCAGAGAGTCCCAGGTTTGGTTCCCGCTAAGGGCACGTACCTCGGTTGCAGTTTGTCCCTGGCCCCGGTTGGGGTCGTGTGGGTGGCAACCAGTTGATGGGTCTCTCTCATGTCGATGTTTCTCTTTCCCTCTCTCTCTCTTCCTCCCTCCCTCAAGATAGATGCAAAAAATGTCCTTGGATGAGGATAAAAAAGAAAAAAAAGGCAGCAGCATTTTAAAAAGCTGAGCTCTGACCCCGACGTCCAATCTACCAGTGAGAGAGACAGGCTGCTCACACTGGCTCTGACAGCTGTAGAGAACACCATCATCACGGAAACCTCCGGGGAAGCAGCTCTGCCCAGGAAAGGCTCCCCTGGGTGCCGTAAGGGGAGTTCAGCTGACAGAGGGCAGGGGTGGGATGAAGACGACGCTGAGGATACCTGACAATGTCACACTTCCACTGCTCCCCTTCGGGACAGAGGCTGCTCACGCCCTCGCGGTACAGGAGGGCTCTCTGTTCTGTCAGCGCCCACACCACACAGTTTCGGGCTGTCACCTGGGACAGTGGGTATGGGCAGTCGACCTTTATGGCTCTGGCACAGGGGCGATCCACGCTGAGACCTGCCAGGGAGATGGACAGGAAGCCCCCAAAGACACACAATCAGGATTTCACACTTCATTTTTATTCTGTTTACTTATTTTTCTCTTCTGGTATTGCTATATTCTTTTGTAATAAGTGCTTTTTTAAAAGGTCTAGTCAGCCGCTGGTTGGTGTGGCTCAGTTGGTTGGAGCATCATTCCATACACCGAAAGGTTGCAGGTTTGATCCCCGGTCTGGGGTACATACGGGAGGTAACCGATTGGTTTCTCTCTCACATCCATGTTTCTCTCTCTAAAATCAATAAAAAACATATCCTCAGGTAAGGATTAAAACTAACTAAATAAATAAAATAAAATGAAAGGTCTAGTCAATTACCAGAGGGAGTGGGGATGGGGACAGGTAGAAGAGGGTGAAGGGGGGATAAATGGTGATGGAAGGAGACTTGACTTTAGATGATGAAAGCACAATACAACATACAGATAGATGATATATTACAGAACTGTACCCCTAAAAATGATATAATTTTATTAACCAATGACAACCCAATAAATTCAATAAAAAGGGGGAAAAAAGGTGTAGTCAACATACAATGGTTAAATTGTGCTTAAATATAACATTTAAGTGAAGCATTTTCAAATGCCCTTTGAGCCCTGGCCGGTTTGGCTCAGCAGTTAGAGCATTGGCTTGCGGTCCAGAGAGACCCGGGTTCGGTTCCTGCTAAGGGCACGTACCTCAGTTGCAGTTTGTCCCCGGCCCTGGTTGGGTTGTGTGGGTGGCAACCCCTCGATGTGTCCCTTTCATGTCAATGTTTCTCTCTCTCTCTCCCCCCTCTCACTCTATCTGAACAAAATATGGAACAATGTCTTCGGGTGAGGATAAAAAAAAAAGCCCTTTGAAAACCCAAGGACTAACAATTCAGAACCTGGTATCTTAAGATGTCCTGAAAGAAGTCTAAAGCTCATGTACCAGAGTGAAATGCTCAGCCTCAATGATTATCTCATTCAGGTCTACTTTGTTCCCATGGCCTTTAGGTTAATGCTTCTTGCATATTAGAGGAATTCTGCTTGCAACTTGAGTTTTAAAAAAAATATCCCCCAGGAAGTACCTCTCCTAAGGAGATAAGGGAAGCATGGGTTATTTATCAAAGGTTTGCAGGAACCTCATGATCAGACTCACATCAATTAGTACAATCTTCCTCAGACCCCTGCTGGCACCCAGATGTCTTTGGTCCTCATTCCCCTCTTGCCCCTCCCACTTTCCCTTCCCTCGACATAAAAGAAGCCTGAACTCTATTTTCTTAAGAGGGATTTGAGCCACCACTAAGTCTTCCATCTTCTAGGTTGGTACCTTCTCCATCAATAAACCTTTCCTTACTCCAAATTCTGACATTTTGAGTTTTGCCCTTTTGAAGCTTTGGGCACATGGACTTTGGACCATTAACATCCAGAGTAATAGAGCAGCTAGACCCGAACCACAGGGCCCAGGCTCAGAGCACCCAGCACTCAGAGATATCCTTCCCTACGGGACAGCTGTGCCCCTTGGAGTCTCAGGATGAGCAGAGGGGCTATAGTTTCAATAGGCTGGCAAGCATCTGAGGCCTCCAGCCACCGTCTCAGAGTAGCTCCAGTGTGTGTGTGTGTGTGTGGGGTGTTCCACTGCTAAAATGAAAACCCTGAATTTCCTAGATAAACAGCATGGTCTGTCACACTCAAGGCTATGGCAGGGCCATCCCTTAGGACCCCTGATTCCCCATCCAGGGCTCTTGCCCTGCCTCCTGGCAGCCTCTGTCCAATGAGCTAGAAGGCCACTCCAGGGGAGCCAGCTAACAGCTGTTACCTAAAACCCGTATATTCTGTGGCCTCAAATGTGGTCCCAACTGACCACACACACATCCTACTGAATCGCAGGCCTTGGGGTACAGTTCCACCCACCAAATGGGTGGGAATCACCTGCATGACTTTTTATTTATTTATTTAAAAAAATTTTTTTATCCTTACCCAAGGACATTTTTCCATTTTTTGTTCAAATAGAGTGGGAGGGAAAGAGAGAAAGAGAGAGAGAGAGAGAAACATTCGATGTGAAAGGGACACATCGAGTAGCTGCCTCCGGCACGACCCAACCAGGGCCAGGGACAAACTGCAACTGAGGTACGTGCCCCTAGTGGGAACCGAACCCAGGTCTCTCTGGACCGCAGGCCAATGTTCTAACTGCTGAGCCAAACCAGTCAGGGCACCTGCAAGACTTTTTATACTACAAATCCTTGGGCCAACCCAAGACTCTAACCTAGTAGGTCTAGGTGGAACCGGGCTTGTCTAAAACTACTGTTCTGGTGATTCCTAAAGCACTGCTGGTGAGGAGGTCACCCGCTCCTCACCCCCAGGCCAGAAGCACCGTTTTCCCACCAGGAACAAAATTCAAAAGCCCCAGAACCATTTTCCCTTGAAGAGAGACACAGGAATTGGGCTGGAGGGACCAGGGCCGGCCCCTGGCGCAGCACTCAGGCTGCAGCCCCTGCGCGGCATGGCCCTCCCAGAGCTGCGGCCGAGGCGGCTGTGCCAGGGCTCTGACCACAGGGAAGCAACCCTGACAGTTCATGACAGGTGACAACATCGGCATCAGAAATATGAACTGGTTAGAAGGTTGATCTTTAAGTGAATCCAGTATGGTCTCTTGACCACCAAAAAGAGCTCCTGCCCATAATCCTCCCCAGATCCTGACGAATTGCACTGCTGTGGGAATCTCATGTCCCGCTGTGCTGACAGCACAGAGACACCGATTCTCATCACAGCTCACTTTTAAAAAAAATCCTCACCTGAAGACATTTCTTCCACTTTTGTTCAGATAGAGTGGGAAGGAGAGAGAGGAAGAGAGAGAGAGAGAAATACCGATGTGAAAGGGACACATCGAGTGGCTGCCTCCCGCATGACCCCAACCGGGGCTGGGGACAAACCGCAATCGAGGAACGTGCCCTTGACCAGAATCAAACCCGTGACTCATTGGTCCGCGGGCTGATGCTCTAACTGCTGAGCCAAACCGGCCAGGGCCACAGTTTACTTTTAATAAACTTTTAATAAACAAGTCCCACTGTGTCTTCCAGCAGCAACATGTTCTCTTCAGGGCAGTTTCCTTGAACTGCTATTTAGAGCAAATTATTTCTCATTGTTTTTTCCTGACTCCCATGTAAATACACATAGAGAGCCGGGGCTGTGACCTGGCTGAGAAATCCAGCCACAGCCACAGGGGAAGGATTCCAGTGGCACCTCTTTGGTATTCTTTCCTCTTCAGCCTGACACTGCAGGGTGACACGTTTCTGTACCTCACTAAAAACTCTGCTCATTCTTGCCCTCACTTTGTCCTGGGTTGAATCTAAATCAGTAGTAGTAAACTGCTAATATATTCCATAGGCAAATCCTCTCTTTCTAGAAGTATGTTAATTTAAATTACTTTTTAGCCTCTTAGTCATCTGATTGTTCTAAGAAAGCAAGGTGCAGTAAGAAGCAATCACACCTGAGCACCGCCCACTGTTACCTGTCTGCAGGTACAAGTCCCCATTTGTCCTGATGACCCAGGCGGTGTCCTCGCTCAGCGCCACAAACACAGCCTGGGGCAGTGCCTCGTACCAGTGCCGCTTGCCCTTGATGGTCACTTTGCCACAAGCAAAAGCTCGGTTAGACTTCTGTTCAATCTTCCAGAGAAGGGCTCCTGTACAAATGACAATTCTATTCAGAATTATGCAGAAAAACCTCCATTCTGGATGCTGTGGGGAGTCATATTTCTAAAACACCCCCTCTGCTTCACCCCTCACTGGGGAAAGAGCCCGCAGTGCCAGGTCTGACCCTTTGGCCACCACCTGGCAGCTGTGTGGCTTCGGGCATGCTGTCACTCCTCTGTGGAGGGGACGCAGGACGACCAATGACACGGTGCAGAGCTGGCACCTCACAGGCACTCCTCTCACTGAGCAGGAACAGGCTGACACCCTCAGATTTGCCAAGAGGGATCCTAGGTGAACACTTGGGGGCACAACTGTGTCTTGAGACAGGCTGAAAGTTCACAGGACTCAAAGGGTGAGTCGCTCTGGACCAGCCAAATGGACAAGATTCGAGAAAAGGAAACATTTGAACTGCACTGTGCTTTTGTTCATTCACAACAGGATTCTGATAAATAGCGAAGAAGGGGAGTGGGAGGAAGGAAAGACAGAGGGTACTCTGTAGGTGGAGGTGTGGCACAGGCCAGGCACCAAAGCAAAAGAAGCCGCCTGGGAATAGCCGAGAGCACAGCTGGGCTGGACTAGAGGGTCAGACTGAGGAGGGGAAGCAAGGCAGACACCACGCCCGCAAGCTCTGAAGGCCATGGACGCAGGGTTCTGATGCTCACTGAAGACTAGGCCCTGAGCCCATCTCAGCCAAGAACCAAGCAGGTGGAGACAGAGCTCTTACTAGAGCAATGAGGGACTGAATGGTTTGGAAACACAAGGTAATTAATATAACCAGGGAAGAACCAAAGTTTCTAAATGGCTGTGGAGATGAACCCAAAGGTAAATGGCAGAAAGACAATTAAAACATACAATTATATAATGCCAGCTAAAGAAGTCGATTAGCATCTGTTTCTGAGGAAAAATATTTTCCAAACGGGCAAAGAGATAAAACAAAGCAACCCTGACAAACTAGTATTTTAAATCATGACAGAGACCAGGGAGAGTTAAGGAAAACCCATTGTAAAATCAGAGGATGATTCCAAGGCCACAGACAGTTTTGTCTGACTCCCTTCCAATGTCCTAAGGATAAACCAGGTACTCCACGGCAGATACCCAGAACCCTTCTGTTCTATTTGACCATCCCCCAAACAGGTGAAGTGGGCAAAAGTCACGACAGAACAGACGAGCAGGAATTTCAGCCCAGCAGCACCTTATTCAGGAAACACTTGCTCCCATTCGGTAAGAATGGCCCAATTGTGGCGTCAGAGAACAAATGCTTTTTCTTTTCAGTCAGGGAGTAGATTATTCACCCAAAGAATATATCGATAGCTCATTTAAAAATAATTTATAAAAAGGAAATTAAATAGCTTGAACATATCTAACATATGCATGGGTCCATCTTCCTTAGTTCAGCTGCTTTAAAGTAACACTAAGAAACATTTTATTTTTATAAAGAATATGTATCTCCCCGCCCCACCCAAATCCTCAAAATTCAAGCTGTTTGTATAGCCTACTAAAACCATTCATATGTCACCACTGTGATTAATAAAAAACCCAAAACTCAAACTGAACATCCACTTACACTATTTAATTGATATCAAATGAAGTAATTCACATTGTTTGGAGAAAATCCCTCACACCTGCGGGAAAAGCCAGTCTGTCGAATGGGCTGCAGGGACCTCAAGCTAGGGCAGTGACCCCTGGGGTGGGAAGCAGGGCACAGGCAAACCTGAGGGTGAGACTGCCACCTGCTGGACGCCATCTTCAAACTTCTGCCAGCGCAGCCCAGCGCCCGGCAAAGCACTGCAGAACAGGCCGCCTTTGTAGTCCAGGCACCAGATGTACTTCTCGGAGACCCCCAGGCTGAGAATGCCGTAGCCAGGGCCAGAGTAGCCCATCCAGCTTTCTGCAAACTAAGGACAGAGCCCGGTGAGTTCTGTGGCAGACCACATGACTGCGTTTGCCCTACTCTTGTCAACAAAAAAAGTATGCAGGTATCATTAAAATCAGAGCTGCGAGGATCTTTGAGAAGCCGTGCAGAGACCCGCTCTCGCTATGTTTGGAGCATAGTACACAGAAGCATTCTGACTTGGGAGCTGCTGCCCCTCGAAAGGCCCCACAGCATCTCTGGATAGCACTGTCACGTTATGACACCCTTCCTAACGTAATGCTTACATCGAAAGGACCTGGCTTTGTTCCACAGGTATAGCTCACTTTACAGAGACTTGTTCTACATGTCAAATCACTATAGATGTGTTAGGAGAAGCAGCTCTGACTATCTTTGTTTTGAAACCACATTTTCAAACAGTTCAAATCATCATGCACAGGGCATAGCATGTGGCTCATGGAAATCTGGCCAAGACACTCTGCTGAGCTGAATTTTGCAGACTGAGGTTTACTTGCTAGGATTCTATTAAAAATCAAAGCTAAAGTTTGTACTTCTGCAAAATTAATCAATGTATTTGCACAATTACGCACATGTAGAAGTTAACTGCTTCAAAGAGAATGGTGCCCCACCCTTCTCAATCTGGCTCTGCTCATCATGATGAGCCTTACCCACCCCCCAAAACCCACATGATTTTTTGGCTCTCCAGCTACTTCGAGAGGCAGGGGAGTTGGCGAGGGCATGAAGGCAGGGGAGAAGTCCTCAAAGTACCAGGCTCCCTTTCTCTTGGGGAGGAGTTTTTCTAAACTTCTGGCCTACACTCCCCAGAGCCCACCCCACAGACCTCATCGGCTGGGCAATGCTGCCAGTCCTGCGTCCTGCTCACAGCCATCCATGACAGCTGTCACGTACACTGTGGCATCCCTAGCATCAAACGGCCTGGCAGTGGAGGCACTCCAGAACAGACGAGCCCCAGCTGGTGTGGCTCAGTGGTTGAGCGTGACCCACGCACCAAGAGGTCGCCTGTTTGATTCCTGGTCAGGGCACATGCCCAGGTTGTGGGTCCGATCCCCAGTGAGGGACATGCAGGAGGCGGGCAGTTGATGTTCTCTCTCATCGATGTTTCTGTCTCTCTCTCTCTCCTATCCTCTCTCTCTAAAATCAATAAAGAAAAAATATTAAAAAAAAACAACAGATGAGCACACAAGAGACTGATGAAGGTCAGGCCTTTTGGCTCTTCATCTCAAAGCAAGTAAGCCACATGTTTCACTTTGGGGACAGGACAGCATAGGCTGGGAGGGGCTCTGGGGCCAGCCTTGCCCTTCACTTGCTACATGTATGCCATTCAGCTATCCCGAATCTCAATTTCCTTCTCTGTAAATCAGGGACAGAAATAGGACCTACTTCCTGGCTTATTGTTTTTAGAGAAGTAATGAGTTAAACTTGTGAAATGCTTGGCATGGTGCCTGGTATAGGGGAGAGCCGCCCAAATGTCACCCATTATTGGCGCTGAGAACCCAGTGAGACAAGCGGGGAAAGCACAGGTGCTGTCGTTCACACTCGTAACCCACACCTCACATCTACTTAGTAGGAAAAGTTACAACACACGGTTCGTTTTGAACCAAATACCTCTCTAGTAATAACCTGCTAAGGAAAGTAGCACTAATTAAAAATCACTTTTTTATGTAAAATGACCAAGGATAGCTAATAGTCGTCTCCTAGCTGCTTGGGCTGCAAGAACCCGCAGCTCACTGTACCCCAGGCCTGGTTTCTGCACAGCCTGCGGGAGCCTTGGCACCAATTCTGCAGGCCGAGCGCACAACCAGGAAAGGGCAGGTTCTTGCTACGGGTTCTGTGCACATGCCTAGAGAGGAGGCGAAGACAGTCCCTGCCCCCCACCAGCTCAGAGCCTTCTCCGCCACGAGCACTGGTCCTCTGGCCACTGTGTTCTGGAATGGCCGCCGGCCGATTCAGCCCTTCCCCCAGGCAACCGTAGGCTGGCGGGCACTGCTTCTGCTGGAGAGGCGGGTTACTGAGCAGGGATGCAGGTCAGCATGGATCCAGGCCCTTCATGGGCCCTGCCCTGGAAATCCCCCCAACTCAGACCTCAGAACATTTGGCCTGCAGGTTTTGCAGTAGAAATGTAATTTCTTTCCATAGGAAGGAAAGTAACCAGATTGCCAATGATTTCTCTTAAGGAAGAAGCTCACATACCTGATCTGACTTCAGCAGCCCAATGTCATCTGTGGCTGGCTGACTGGAGTCCAGCAGGGAGCAACTGCTTCCGAGCTCTGCCACACTCGTCTCCGAGGATGAAGAGGGCAGCCCGTGGGCGTAGATGTCCTCCTCGTCACTGGATGTCAACACCTGGTCCTGTGAGGAATGCTTGAGGCGAGGCTCATGGGCGCTGTCCGCCAAGGCAGAGCATGGAGGAGTCAGCCGTCCGCCCACACTCAAGTCACATTTGGAAGTCCCCACTGCTTTCTGGCCTGTGTCATCAGTGACAGAGTGCCAGGGATTCGAGAGGAGGTAGCTGGGAGCCTCCATTTGTGCTAGGAAGACCTGCTCTTTGCTGGTCTCCTCGGTGGCGCCTTTGTCAGCTCTGGTCTCCAGCAGCCACCCCTCGACACTGGGGGCCCGGCTGAGGCGGGAAGGCACTGGGGGCAAGTCCAGGAGAGGGGCCTCAGACAATGTGCTCTGGGGGTCCTCAGGCTCCAAGCCCCCCAACTCCTGGGCCTCAGGAGAGCTGTCCTGTTCGTGGCAAGGTGACTGTCTGTTACTGAGTCCAAGGTCTACAGGACAAGGCTCCCCCTGCACATCCCCACTTTCCACCTCTCCCCTGGGTTGCAGGAGTGAACCCGGCACCCCACTGTGCAGCTCCATCTTGCCTGCCTGGTTCCATGGTGGGGTTTCTGTGCTATTGTCGTCTTTTTCATTTACAAAGTCAGGGGCGGGCTCAGGCACCTCCAGGATACTAAATGCTTCCGAGTCATTGTTTTCCTGCAGGACACCATTCACCTCACTACTGAGGTTGCTCTCCCAGTCAGGAGACTCCGTGCTCAATTGATCCACGATGCTGCCCAAACTTGAGGTCATGGACAGCAGGTCTGTGTTCAAGGACTGAGGACTGTTACCAGGAAACTCACAGCAGGGAGTCGATTCAAGGGAACTGTGCCAGGCATTCCTGTTTCCACCTTCTAATTTAAAATAAGAACATTTAAAATGAGGTATGGAGGTACATAGAGACATTAATTAAAAACCAAAAGTTTGCCCTGGACAGTTTTGCTCAGTGGTTAGAGCGTCAGCCCGCGAACCAGAGATTCCTGGGTTCGGTTCCCGCTAAGGGCATGTACCTCGGTTGCAGTTTGTCCCAGCCCCGGTTGGGGTCGTGTGGGTGGCAGCCAGTTGATGTGTCTCTCTCACATTAATGTTTCTCTCTCTATCTCTCTCCCTCCTTCTCTCCCCCACCCCACCTGAAGATGAATGCAAAAATGTCCTTAGGTGAGGATTAAAAAAAAAGACAACCAAAAATTAGAGGCCTTGGTTGTGCAGCTCAATTGGTTAGAGCATCATCCCGATACACCAAGGTTACAGGTTCGATTCCCGGTCAGAGCACATACAAGAATCAACCAATGAATGCATAAATAGAACAACAAATCAATGTTTCTCTCCCCGCACCCCTAAAATCAATAAATAATTTAAAAAACAACAACAAAAACATATTTGGCTTAAAAGAAAAATACATTTTAAGTGAACAAAAAATAGCCCAGCTGGTGTGGCTCAGTGGATTGAGCATCGTCTCATGGACTGAGAGGTCCCAGTTCGATTCCCAGACAGGGCACATGCCTGGGTTGTGGGCTCGATCCCTATAGGGGGCGTGCAGGAGGCAGCTGATCAATGTTTCTATCTCTGTCTCCCTTCCTCTCTAAGAAATCAATAAAAACATATTTAAAAATAAATAAGTGAAGATAAATAAATTTTAAATAAATTAAAAATATATTGTAAACTGGTGAAGAATAAACCTCTTTAAGTACAAATTATGCCAACATGGGAATGTTTTAAATGGATGCAAACATTCTATATATATGGGCTCTAAGGCCTCACTCAAGAAATGTTTACTAAGAAAAATAAAAAAACAAACAAGCTCTGACCCGTGTGGCTGAGTTGGTTGGAGCACTGTCCCATGCACCAAAAGGTGGCAGATTCCATTCCCAATCAGGGCACATACCCAGGTTTTGGGTTCAATCCCTGACTGGGTCTAGGGGAGCAGGGGGAGGGGTAGCCAATCGATGTTTCTCTCACATCTCTTTCATCCATGTTTTTTCTCTCTCTCCCTCTCCCTTCCTCTCTTTCTAAAATCAATTTGTTAAAAAGGCATATCCTTGGGTGAGGATTTTTAAAAAATAAAGAGCCCTGGCAGCTTTGGCTCAGTGATTAGAGCATCAGCCTGAGGACTGAAGGGTCGTCGGTTCAATTTCCAGTCAAGGGCACGTACCTAGGTTGTGGGTTCAATCCTCAGCCCTGGTTGGGGTCATGTGGGAGGCAACCAGTCGATGAGTCTCTCTCACATCGCTGTCTCTACCCACTCCCTTCCAATCTATCTAAAAATTAATGGAAAAAATATCCTCGGGTGAGGATTAACAGAGGAGAGGAAAGGAAAGGAAAAGGGAAAAGGGAAAAGAAAGGAAAGGAAAGGAATCATAGACCAACTTTTAAAAATTATTAAAATGCTAATGAATGTGATAACATTTTCCTTCAATACTGCAGTGATCTTTAGCTAAGAGGCTTGATCGCCACCATGGAGTAAGGAGGTTCCTTGCGAAATCCCTATCTGGTAGCAAACACAGCCAACCAACAACATAAATGATCCCTCTAGACACTGCTGTCAATCTTGTTACCATGACTTTCCATTTAGGTTCACAATATCTCTGTCTAGCAAATGGTATACATGAATAAACAACATTTTCATCTAAATATTGAGAAGTATAAAACCCACACCCGTTAGGCAGGGTGCTCAGCTCACAGGTGCATGCTATCATTTAAATCTTATAGAGATGCTTCATGTGTGTGTGCATATATGGTTGAGACTACTTCACATTGCAACTCCTGGGAGGAAGAAACACATTCTTTCTTGAGGACCCTCTCTGCTGTGCCGTGAAGGGCACGTGCAGGTTCAGTGCGCAGCAGCGCTCCCCAGGCTCCGGGTAGACGTACCTGCCTTCTTCTTCCTCTTCTTCTTCTTCACTTTGAGAGGCTTCACCACAAGCTCCTGGTCAAAGTCTTCCGAGCTAATGACACTGAACCTCTGCGAGGCAGGCTGGCTGCTCTTGCCCAGCTCCAGGGTTGCCTGGGGCCCCGAGCCGCTGTCAGTGGAGTTGAGCGAGCTGCTCCTGCTCCTTGGCTCGCTGGCCACAGAGCTGGCCACAGAGGCGCCTCTGTGCCTCGTCTCGGAGACCGCGGCCCCCAGGGGCCTCTCTGCATGCTGCACGGGGACCTGCTCTGGGCATCCTGGCGTCTCCAGACTGTCTCGCACTGAGAAAGGAGAGTCCAGTTTTATTACTGCTTATCCAAGAGAAAGTTGACATGCTCTATGTTAATCTGCCCTACATACCAGCCTGCTGAAGTCAGAGAAACTAACAGAACTCAATAACTGTACAAAAGATTCCAATCAATGGTTTTGTTCTCCAGGAAGCTCATATATCAGAATCAGTAAGCTAAGTCTCCACAGCTGCCTTGTAAAGAACTCCATAGGAAGGGAAAACCACTAAGTATAGAGCATCTCTCATTCTGATTCACAAGCAATATATAGAGAGGCCTGTCTGAAAAAGGGCTTAGTACTATCTCATACTAATATACTTTAATGTCAAAGGGCATTTAAAAAATATATGTATACCGGTGAAGGAGACTGAGAACAAATGGCCAGAGAGAAAGAAGGCAAGTAAGAGGAGATACAACAGATGAGCAAAGAGGGACAGCAAGAGGTAAAACCTCAGAAGTAGAAGGCAATCAACTGCTCTCAGCATGCCAGCAGCAGCTACGGCCTGGCGCTCACCCTGCCGCCAGAGGGCAGAGCCTCCATGGAGACTGTAACAGTGCACTCCAGCCAAGGGCTAGAAGCTAGATGCTGGAGTGCATGCAGCACCGCTGAATCCAGACCCTTCCAGGAGGCACTGGTGCAGCACTCTGTCCACAACTGGCAAAGAAAACTCATTCAGTGTGACTGCAGCAGGCCCTGAGGAGGAAAACAGGCAGGCCAGACTCTGGCCGGTGCAGCCTTCACCTTGGCCCCGCATGTGCCGGCAGTGCAGGGCGCCATCAATGGCCTTCCAGACCACTTGCTCACCTGTGATGTCAGTGATGTCAGTGAGAACTCATCACGATTTGGGTGTGATTTAATCTGGAAGATTCAGTGCTCTGTGATGCGTGATTTTTGTTTGTTTGAACCTTAACAGCTTTAAAACAAAAGTTTGCCTATTGTATTTAACTTGTTTTGTGTTCTTTGCCATTTCATTGTCTAAAGGCCTTCAGAAAAGCAAGCATCATAAAATAACATTTTGTTCATTGCCCTGTTTTTTCAGATTATTTATATATATATATCTGTAATTAAATTTCTCAAAATTCAAGGAGGAAAGGTAATTTTCCACTAGAACAAATTTAAGACAGATGTGCATTAAAACAGTCAGAGCCTGATCCAGGAAGAAGGCAGAGAGAGGAGCGGGCACGGAATGTCCCAGCCCCAGTTCTGTCCCCGTGACTAAGAGCCAGCAAGTTTCCCACTTCCCTGGACTCATCCTCTTAACACACCACCAGGACACCAGGGCCAGAATGGCTCCAGTCACAATCCCCTCCACACAGGACCGTGGACCACTTGATCTACTGAGTGTCAGTCACCATTCCAGGTGCTGAGACACAACATCACCTGGGCACATGGAATTCCTCCTCTCCGGTTGTCAAGGGCGCACTGTGGCTCTGGAGCACACACTGGGGGTTAAAGAGCAGACTCTGCTAAGTGAAGCACAGGACAGGGAAGTGGCCTGTGCAAGACCACACAGCAAATGGCTGGTCTTGGTCTAGAGCTGCAGGGTCTAGTACAAAAGCCACTAGCCATGTAGCTGTTTCAATTCAGATTAATTAACATGAAACAAAATTTAAAATTCAGTTCCTCGGGTGTACTTGCCGCATTTCAAGCACTCAGCAGCCATGTGTGGAGAGTGGCCACCTACCAGACAGTGTAGATACAGAGCAAGGAAGGGACAAGGTACTCCAACCCCAGGGAAGAAGGCGGAGGAAGGCAGTGGGTGGCAGGAGACAGGTCTCCCATTTCCCACAGGGTTGCTAGAGTCAAAGAGAACACCTGTGAAACTGCTCTGTGAACCTCAGAGGCCCCACCAAGGCAGGGGCTGAGGCCAGCTGTGCCACTCACACATCACAGCAGTGATGTCTTTGGGACCGAATGGCACAGCACCTTGCTGAGCCTCAGCTAGAATCTCAGTACCTTCCACAGGGGGTGGTTATGAGGGTTTTATGAGAGCGAGAATGTTAAGTACTTAACACAATCTCTGGAACCCAGTGAGCACAAGTGAGAGAGAGTGAGGGGCAGGGGTGGGGCCCTGGTTACCAGCAGGAACAAGTTCACTGAGCAGCCCCAAGCACGTTAAGGACGGTAGATGTGTGCACGAGAATCCACAGTAAGATTCTCTGCTTATTAGAATTTGAACTTATATGAATTACCAAAAAAAAGTCAAAGGCACAGAGCATAGTAATTCTACAAGGAAGAACTGTATTAAGGGTAAAAGTTATGTCTGAGATGACATTTAAATGTTGTAAAATCTTATGCAAATCTAGGTCTTTTGGTGCATTAATCCCTCATGCTGTCCAGAGTACCAGAGATCAGTTAAGTGGGTGCTGAGTTCTCGTTCCCACTCACCTGACTCCCACCTTCCAGACCCATGGAAGTAACTCTACCAAGTAGGAGAGCCTGTCTGATGCAGGTCATAAAGTAGGTCACCTTCAAGGAAAGTACTATAAACAATGTTTTAAGAATCATAAGAAACCCTCCAATGCCTTCCTTGTTTAGATAAAGCTATAGTCATTTACTAGCAAAATGGTAAGTGTTATAAATGAAAACTGCAACTGTACACATGCAGTACCCTTATTACAAATACAAACCTATGGATGCTAGTCCTTCCGGCCTGCTCGAAATTCTTATAATGTTCCTATCTCCCTTCAAGAGAAATATTTCATTTTCTGTGCAGGAAACAGACACAATATCACCTGATCCTTCCAAACCAGCAACTGTGGCCTGTTCAAAAACAAAAACAAAATTACAAAGCTGGGCAATAGAACTAGATCAGAGCACACAACCATGCGTAGGAACCCAAATAAGTCAGCCTGGAACTACCCTTTATTATGACAACTTCATGGAAGTTCTTAGGGTAATTCAATCCCTAGGGTAATGGTAATGCTCGGTTCTCGAATGTTCCCTATCTCGAGCAGTTTGCTTCTCAACCTGACAACCCTTTCATGCTACCTGTATGATTGATCAATCATGCGTCTCTCAGGTGACAAACAAAGGAGAGAATTCAAGAGGATGAGTCACCTGTTAAACCTCACGTTAACATCTCAGGAAATTGTGCTGTGAATATTTTCATGTTTTTTCGCTGATTATTATTTAATTTTCATTTTTACTGTAGATTTTATTTCATTTTTGTTAAATTTCTAGTTACATTTCATGTCCTTTTTGTTTTTAAAGTGTTTATTTAGCCCTGGCCAGTGTGGCTCTGTTGGTTGAGTGCCATCCCGTGCACCGAAAAGTTGCTGGTTTGATTCCTGGTCAGAGCACATACCCAGGTTGTGGGTTTGGTCCCTGGTTTGGGTATATACCAGAGGCAACTGATTGACGTTTCTCCCTCTCTCTTCTTCTCTCTCTAGAATAAATAAATATATATTAAATAAATAAATAAAGTGTTTATTTATAGCCCTGGCCTGTTTGGCTCAGCAGTTAAGAGTGGTGGTCCACAGACTAAAGGGTTACGGGTTCAGTGCTTGGTCAAGGGCATATACCTGGGTTGCAGGTTTGATCCCTGGCCCTGGTTGGGGTGTATGCAAGAGGCAACCAATCAATGTGTCTCTCTCACATCAATATTTCTCTCTCTGCCCCCCTTCCACTCTATCTAAAAAAATCAATGGAAAAATATCCTTGGGTGAGGATTAACAAAAAATAAATAAAATAAAAAGTGTTTATTTATAGATTAAACAGTATATTAAGTCAGGAACTCATTTGGGGGTCTGGAACAAATTAATTCAATTTATATTATCTCTAATGGCAAAGAATGATTCCATTTTCGAACAGCCTTCTGGGACGAATTAAGCTCGAGAACCAAGGTTTCACTATACCTGACAGATGTATGACTCGGAGACTTGGAGTCTTACTCCTCAACAGTAAATTCACGTGACTGAGGAACAGTCTCCCCACCTCTTGGCCACTCTTTGGACCTTGTCCTCACCTGCTCCCCACTTCCTATGACATGGAGTGCCTCCTCCCTGGTGGGACTTGCCTGTGGGCCTCACGCAGCTCTGCCCTTAAGACAAGGAGAAACTAAAATGAAAGTTTTTTTTAAGTTCCTATATCTGACTCTAATGGTAATAATCAATTATCACCCTGATTTAAACAGAAATGGCAAAATAATGTGTCTCCGTTTGGGCAGAGGGAACAAGGGTAAGAACAGGGTGGAAAGAAAGCTGGACAGAGCCCTGTCTGGCTCAGCGTCACCCCGGGGAGGCCTCAGAAGCTTGGTCTTCACTTAATACACTCACCGCCATTTGGTAGTCAGAAGAAACACGACCCAAATAGACTATAAAGAACAAGTTTAATTTTGTGCTTATATGCAAAAATACTCCACAATTTCTTGGCAGGGGGCAGGACTATGAATAGCAAGCAAATCAAATATTTTTTCAAATCTATAAAAATAACCAAACTTCATCTGATTTCCTTGACTGGCCCAGGGGAGAGAGGAAAGCATTAGAGCCTGTACTGTGCCCTCCATCGTTCTGGGAGGCAGCCCCAGCTAAGCCTTCAGACGCTGAGATGTGGTGCGAGCATATCACTCACCTGGTTGATGGTGTCTAGAAGGTAAATACTATATTCATTCCAACTCAGCACCCAGCCTTCCTGGAAGAAACATGAAACGAGCCCCAGGTGCTTCTCAGGTAAGCTGCCACTTGCCCTGTCGCAGGATTCCAGACGCGGATACAGTTCGAAAGGCTTGACTCCTCCAGCAAAGACATCCTTTAAGATAAACGTGGCTTGAACAGTCCCATGGATGTCAGCCTTCCACAGCCGGAGCCCCGGCCGTGATGCGTACAAGGTTAGATCGCTTTGCTTACAAAGTCCTGGTATAAAACAAGCACCAAATTTTCCAGTGCTGGAATTAAAAGAAAAAACAGACACAAACTGATTTAAAGTGATGGCTGTTATTAACTACAACAGGACATTTCTGGCTAGGCCTAAAAAAGATTGATTTTTTTAGAACTGTTTTCTCTGTTCCTCTTGTGAACTGAACCACACTGTCACCCCTGTGCCCAGAGGACGAGGTGTCTGCCTCACATTTCTTACAACACCGCAAGGAGGGTGCACCATGAGCACCTGTCTGGTTTCCAGGGCACACTTCCTGGGAATCCCTGCCACGGGCGCTGCACCCACTGCTTTATCTGCACTCTCTTGTTCAGTCCTCTCGACCCCGTGGGGCCGACACTACTACTCCCGTTCTAGAGAAAAGAAAACTGAGGCAGGAGGTGACAAATCCAAGTCTGCCCGCCTCCCACTGCTCCAAAATTCTCCTCATCACCGTGTTCACCCCCACATCCCCATAAATGAGCTTGCTCTCTGGGATCCAGACAGTCCTTTCAGAACTTCTCTAAGAGGGACCAGATTTCCCTTCTGAAATTGCAAAACAGCCAATACAAACTAACGAACATGCATTATATACATAAATTATGAAGGCTGGTGATCAAATGTATACCCAGGAACCCATGCTTCAACTTCGGAAATACACCATCGGCGGGCAACATCCTAATGTTCTCATGCGCCTAAAAGTTCCTGCTGTCGCCATTCATTTCCAGGTGTAACCACTAGACTGAATTTTGTGTTTACTGTTCCCTTGCTTTCATTGATAGTTTAGCCACAAATCCATGCAATCCTAGTTTAGTATTGTTTGTCTTTCATTTGTATTAAAAAACAATATGCTGCTCTTTGCATGCCTTGGAAACTTGCTTTTAACTTAACATTATACAGCGGAACCTCAGTTTTCAAACTTAATTCATTCCAGAAGGCTGTTCAAAAACCTAATAATTTCTCCCCATTAGAAATAATGTAAATTGAATGAACCTGTTCCAGACCCCCAAATGATTCTCTATTTTAATCATTCTTATATACAGTACATGTCTAATGTACTGCTTAATCTATAACTAAACACTTTAAAAACACAAAAGACATGAAATATAAATGAAAACTTAAAAAAAAGGAAAGGAAAATTATAGAAAAAAAGAAAATTTAAGCCCTGGTTGGTATGCGTAGTGGCTAAAGTGTTAGCCTGCACACAAAAGGATCGCGGGTTTGATTCCTAGTCAAGGGCACGTACCAGGGTTGCAGGTTCAATCCTCAGCTCTGGCTGGGGTGCATGTGGGGCAACCAATCACTGTGTCTCTCTCACACTGATGTTTCTCTCTCTTCTTCTCCCTCCCTCCCTCCCATTCACTCTAAAAATCAATGGAAAAAATATTCTTGGGTGATGATTAACAAAAAAATGTTTTAATAGTAATAAGCAGCAACAAAAGCCAAAAGACGAAAATATTCACAGTACAATTTCCTGAGATGTTAACAACATGAGGTTTAGCGGTAAACTCATACTGTGCATTGTCTCCTTTGTCGCCTGAGAGATGTGATTGATCATACAGGCATCAGCATGAAAGGGTTGTCGAATGGAGAAGCGAATTGTTCGAGATGGGAGATGTTTGAGAACCGAGGTTTGACTATATTTCTGAGATTTATCCTTGTTGATAACAAAGCTGTGGCTCATTCAATTTCACTGCTATACAGTATCCCACAAGTATTTACTCGCTCTATTGTTGATTTGAATCATTTCCACTTTTCCGTTTTGGACAACAGTGCTACAAGCATTTTTGTGCCCCACCTCCTAGTACACAGGTGTAAGAATCTGTCAAGATTGCAGAAGTGGAACTGTTGGGTTGCTAAGAGCAAATTCAAGTTTGGAGACCACTTGAAACTTATCTCAGTGTGACCATCCCAACGACACTCCCTCCAGCAGTCTCTGCGTTTTCACGGCTCCACATCTTTGCAAATCTCACACTTCCACCGAATTCATATGTTAAGAGGCTCAGTTCAACCCTAAGTCCTGCTGAGTCTCTCTGATTTTGGACAGTAGAAAGAGTCCTGGCTTTACACTGACACCTGGGCTCAAATGCAGCCTTGACATCTAATAGCTATGTGGTGTGTAACCTATTTGTTTATTTATTTGTTAAGCCTCACTAGAGGATATTTTTTCATTGATTTTTCGATAGAGTGGAAGGGAAGGAAGAAGGGAGGGAGGGAGAGAGGGAGAGAGACAGAGAGAGAGACACATCGATGTGAGAGAGACACATCAATTGGTTGCCTCCCACACAGTCCTGACCGGGGCTGGGATCAAGCCTGCAACCCAGGTATGTGCCCTTGACCAGAAATCACACCCAAGACCCTTTGGTCCATGGGATGACACTCTTAACTGCTGAGCCAAACCAGCCAGGGCGTGTGTAACCTTTTAGAACTGTTATCTACTCTGTAAACCAGGGATAATAACTCCCACCCCCAAGGCTGAAGTGAGGATTAAAGTCCCCACAAACTCAACTGCCATGCATGAGGCTGCAGAGGCTTACAGCTGGGATCTGCCTAACTCTACCCACGTCACCATTGAGTGTTCATCCTGTGTGCTGTGTCTCTCTCCACTGTCATTGCACACAGCACCATGCCCAACCCCGAGAGGTGGCCCCCAGTGACCACCCCACACAGCCACGAAGACGCAGATAAAGTTATGTGAGCGTTTCTCTGCACTTCAGTGTCTCACCAGGTCCCTATGGCACCTCAGTAACTACATCCCTCTGGACAGGGTCCAAGGAGGATATCTAATTTCAAATTCACTTTGAAACAAAGATCGTTAGACTAACTGAGAATGTCCACAGACAACGCTCTAACCAGCATCGTGTTTCATCACTGCCTTTGGTGGACTTGTTCTGGGGAGGTTTGCTAACAGAGGGACCCGAAGGAATTCTAGCAGGGCAGCAGCGACCTCTTTCTCCTGCCTTTCCTGTCAAACCAATTTGTTTGGTGACCCGGTGTGTCAATCTGTTTCCTTAAAAGTCTCCTGTCACTTCCGTTTTCTTTGTTCACCTTAGGTCACTCAAGTGTTCACATTAACAAACATGTAGTGAGTTCCTGCACTATGTAGGACACTGCTCGGTGCTGTGGGCAACATAAAAGATCAGTACGACGAGATCCTGGACCCGTCTCACCATGCCCAGTGGCAGACATGTGCGTGAACAACTACAACGCCATCCAGGAGGGGCCACACATGGGTCAAAGACCTGTTCAAAGAGGAATACAGCAAAGGGGACATGTGACAGCAGCATAAGAAGACCGGATCCAGGACACTGAGTGGACAATTACCAGGTGGAGAAGAGGGGAACAGGCATTCAAAAGGCGGGGGCATGTTGAGCAGGGTGCTGGCGGGTGCCTGGTCAGGAGGAGGTGAGAACTCGGGGTGACTAGCTACAGCCAGGTGCAACAGTCCTGAAGCCCGACTTGGCCCCTCCACCCACCTGCGGTGACTCTGCAGCGCTTGCTGGTGTCATTCAGAACCGACACAAGAACACTAGTTTTAACGTCTAAGCAATGAAGTTCTAAAATCATAAGTAAACTAACCTAGTTTCTTAATTTTGGTGGAGATGATTTCCAGGAAAAATCACTGATGAAGTTCAAAAAACACTTTATTCCCTTTATGAGCCACACTAATATGAAAGGAGTGCTTTTTGGTTAGCAAATTCTAGCCATAAAATAGTTTTTTCTAATTGTCTACAATAATTTATAGTACTGCAGACCTGAACTGCTGAGCATGAACAGAAAGGGCATGACGGGAGCGCCGGCCCAGAACTCGACGCTGGCTCTGCCTGGGTGCAGCTCCACACCGCCGCAGCCAGCACCCACTGCTCTGGGCGGTGCTGCTGACACAGGGCATCCCTAGTGCCTGGACTGTGGGACACATGGCAGTAGGCTTGGAGAGGTCCTTACATAAAATAATGCCACAGAGCCCTGGCCGGTTTGGCTCAGCGGTTAGAGCATTGGCCTGCGGTACAGAGAGACCCGGGTTCGGTTCCCGCTAAGGGCACGTACCTCGGTTGCAGTTTGTCCCCGGCCCTGGTTGGTCGTGCGGGTGGCAACCACTCGATGTGTCCCTTCACATCGATGTTTCTCTCTCTCTCTCTTCCTCTCGCTCCCTCCCGCTCTGTCTGAACAAAAAATGCAAAAATGTCCTCGGGTGAGGATAAAAAAAAAATAAATAAATAATGCCACAGAGACACAGAGAACAAACATATGACATGTTTGGGAATGGCTAGGCCTGAGACTTTCTGGGAGCAACACATACTGTTTGTCCAACCTGAGAAGGTTCAGACTTGATCAGAAGAGCCCACCTCATCTGCCACGGAGTCCTCCACGAACCCACACCTGCCCTGCCCCACTTCTCCATAGCCGCAGGCCCCCTCTGGGTCCGGGAACACTCCAAGCCCTGGCCTGATCCCCAGCCTTGGCCTTGGATGTTCCCTGAAACCAGAATGCTCTGCCCATACTTCAGCTCAAGTATCACTCCCTGCGGAGGCCTTCCCCACGTTCTGAGAGAAGCCTCCTGCTCCCCCCACCCCCAGTGCCTCACCCCCGGCTCCGCCCGGCACTCACTGCAGCCCAACACTCGTCTTGCTTGAGGGCGACACCTGTCCCACCTGAGGGCTGCTGCGCAGCAGGCATTCACCCGACGGTGCTCAGTGAAGCACCACGTCCAGGGTGGTGGCCGATGCCCTCCTAACCACAAGCCCACACAGCACGCAACAGAGAGAGCCTTAAGACATGTATTTGGTGTCATCCCCACTTCCCAAAGGCTCAATGAAACCATGTCCCTCAGAGACTGATTTGTTTCTGCGCACAGCGTGGCACACGGCACGCCTTTAATCACCGCGCCAGGACCCGACCCCAGACGACCAGGCGAGGCTCACAGAAAGTTGCTCAGGTTTCACACAAAAGCCTAGAAGGCCAGGTGTGAGGAGCAGACTGCTGGGTATGCGGCCCAGGTGAAAGGTAACTGGCTTGCTAATCTTTACATTCCTCCTGCCTTCCAAAGAGACACAGCACAGTAAGACAAATGACCGACAAACCCGGACAGACGTCAGGCAGAAGTGCGACCCTAGCCAAAGGAAATCAGGACAGTAAGCCCAAGCTACAAATTCCACTGCATTTTCCAGAGGCTGGCAGGAGATTGGTGCTGTAAACAGGCCAAAGTGTTGCTGGAACCGAGGGCTGTTCAGCAGGGGAGAAGCTGAGCGGCAGCACGGCAGTGTCTTTTCATAGCTCAGGGCTGCCACACAGAACAGAGAATAAACTTCCACTGTGCAGCCGGGAGGACAGCACACAGAATGATGCCGGCCCCCCCGGCTGACCTCAGCCACCCTTCCCCGACGGCACTGCCAGCCTCCTCTGGCCCTCAGCAGTGCCTGCCGGCCCACCACGTTTCCAACCCAGCTTGCTGTCCACTCTCCACACCCCCCAACCCTCTCTCTTCCTTCCTCCTGGCCCCCGCCAGTGTCCCTCTCCTGGGAACTCCTCCAGCTCCTGCCCACCGTCTCCCACTGCCCCCTACCCAACCCTCCTCACTTCCCCAGCCTGAAAACACGCGCACAGAGTCCTACTAGGGTGCTTGGCCACCCACGTGCTGCTGCTGCTGCTGCTGCTGCCTATTCCCACATGACTGGCAGGCAGGTAGACTTGGCCTAACCCTCCTTGTCACTGTTTTCTCTCAGGCATCCGGTCAAAGGAGGGACAATCTCTCAGCCTAGAACCCTTCACCCCTTCGACCCTCCTTGACCTCACCCCTGGCACTGTTGGCAGAGTGGTGCACTGCAGAGGTACAAACTTTCTCAGACACTGGGACGAGGCGTCCTGGGCAGGCTGGGGACCCACCAGGAACCCCAGGCTTAGAGCCACTGTGGGCTTGCATGTGTCAAACCTTAAAGCCCCTCTGTGACCAGCAGGCTGGGACATGTGGGCACTTACCTTTTCCTTGGCTGTGTTCCGATTTGCTGGACAGACTGCTCTTCGGTGTAGAAGAGCAGGCTTCTCTGTAACGTGGACACGAGCAGCACTTTCTGGCTGTAGTCCAGCTGCACGATGGAAGCCGGCTCCTCCAGCACCAGCTGGGAGTTACAGACGCCCTGGGGGAGGTGGTCCGGTTAAAGCCAACGCCAGGTGGGGCCACAGTAACCCGCCCTCCTCCGTGATGGGAAACACCCTTTCAGTTACTTTTATTTAGGTCGAATTACACCTTAAAATGCACGCTTTTACTCTCATTGGATTCACTGTCAACCCATGGCAATGAAATTATTTGGAAAAGTATCTATCTCAGGCTACCTCAAGCTTGACAGGAAACATTAAAAATTCTGTATAATTTCTTTTAAATGTCTCAAAAGTTAATTCAAAGAAGAATTCATAAAGATCTAAGCAAAAACATGTTGTACCAGGTGTATTATTTATTCTATTATAACAGGACACATGGGACTTTCTATAAAATCACCATGACAATGACCAGCTAAGCTCATATTGTACCTTCCCTCCACAAAGAGTTCAAAGCAATTCTGGGGACATTTTATCCCTGTCGCTGGAAAGGGTCAGAGAAAATAGGAGGTTAGAAATACATTAAAATGGTATTAAATATATTAGAGAACAAAAGTAAAAGTCCAGAAGGCGTTCTGCTGCCCTCCTGATGGCAGAGATCTGCCTGCACAGGCCACTCTTCTCCTGGACCAGTTCTTCAGTAAGAAGTACTGATGTGCTGTCGTCTGAGGGGAAGAGGAAGCAGCTCTCAGACTTACTGGTGAAGTTCAATAAAGTACAATTCACCCTTTTGTATACACAGTTCTATGAATTGTGACAAGTACACACAACGGTGTAACCACCGCCACGGAGAAGATACAGAACCCCATTCCCCTCAAACACTGAGGACTTTTTAGATAGATTTGCTGCCCACATTTGGAGTTATGCAAACAGTAGCAGTTTAGTTTTTTACTTACCTTGTAATGCAATAAAATTTACTGTATTAAATTTTGCAAAAACATGCATCCTCCCATGTCCTTTTATTTGAAAACCTCACAGAGTACTTGTGTATTTTAAAAAATTATCAGAACCTCAATAAAGCTGGGGAAGAAATTATCAGCCTGCTAAGGACACTGCTCCCTGCATGAGTAGTGTTCTGTGTTGCCCACAGCCGGGCAGGGCGTGGCAGCAGGAAAGGACACACGCAGGGGGTCCTTAGCAATGTCACAGAACATCGTCCTGCACAGTAGTGGTTCTCCAAGGATGCCCGCTGTCCCTGAAGGTCCTCAGGACCCTTTCAAAGGGATTTGTGAGGTCACAATTCATTACAGTGCTAGGTTGTATCAGCCTTGTTCACAGTGGGCACTTGTACTCATGGTACAAAAGCCACACAGGGTGGAGTTGAGGGAGCCTCCGAGGTGACCAATCTGAGCAGGAAACCCAATTCCACTTGTTGTCCCTGGGCCCTCACCACCATATACTCACATTAAAAACACGTGTTTCAGCACTTAAGAACATTTGGGGTTTTTTGTTTCTTTCATCCTTACTAGAGGATACTTTTCCATTGATTTTTAAAGATAGAATGGAGCCTGGCTGGTGTGGCTCAGTGGATTGAGCGTCGTCCCATGGACTGAGAGGTCTTGGTTTGATTTCCAGTCAGGGCACATACCTGGGTTGTAAGCTCAATCCCCAGTAAGAGGCATGCAGGAGGCAGCTGATCAATGTTTCTCTCACATCAATATTTCTCTCTCCCTCGCTCCCTACCTCTCTCTCTAAAAAAATCAATAAAAACATTTTAAAAAAAGAAAATGGAAAGGAGGGAGGGAGGGGGAGAGAGAGAAACACTGAAGTGAGAGAGACACATTGATTGGTTGCCTCCCAAATGACTCCAACCTGGGCCGGGTATCAAACCTACAACCCAGCTACATGCCCTTGACCAGGAATCAAACCCTCGACCCTTTGGTCCTCGGGCCAACGCTCTAATCGCTGAGCCAAATGAGCCAGGGCAAGAATGTTTTTGATGGAGGAAATGACAACTTCATTTGGTTTTGGCCATTGGGCACGTCTATCTGTGTGTTCTGTCCACTGGAACTGAGCATCCTGTTCTCCCAAATCAACAAGCATCTGAGTGACGGTCAGCACCGCTGCGGGCTGAGGCAGCTGCGTTTTCAGATACCTTGTTCACTTGGAATGCTGTAATGATTCCAAACAGGGCCTTCGATAGACACTAGCCCAGAAAGAACAAAGTGACCCTGTACTGCAAGGGCAACAAGTGACCATATTTGTTGCTGATGATAAAATTCAAGTTTTCAAATGAAGGTTAGAATTTAAAGCAATGTATCCACCTTTATGAACCTGAGAGATTCCCAGAGCTCAAGACTTTTCTGATCAGAATGATGGAGATACTAACAAAGCTGCTTTCTTCAATATTATATAACTAAACTGTCAGCATTTGGAAGATGTGCCTCACTCTGACTCAACGTGTTCGAAGTGACTGATACATGATGTCACAAAATCGCATATGGGTCAAAGAGCCATTCTGAGTATAAGATGGACCAGTGGACTTGATGGTAATAGAGCATGAAAAATTCATCTACATGGTTTCAATGCCATACTGTAACTAACCTTTAATGACACTGCCATTAATCAACTTGGGGACAGAACTAAAGAAGAATATTAAAAGGCTATTAAAACACTCCTCCCAGTTTTTTCTTCTTCTTCTTCATTTTTTTGGTTAATCCTCACCCGAGGATATTTTTTATACTAATTTTTAGAGAGAATGGAAGGGAGGGAGGAAGGGAGAGAAATAAATATCAATGTGAGAGACAGACACCAATCTGATGCCTCCTGCATGCACCCCAACCAGGGCTGGGAATCCGAACCCAAGACCCTTTGGTCCCAGGCCGATGCTCTAACCATTGAGCACATCAGCCAGGGCAACTCTGTGCAAGGCTGGAGTTTCTTTATATCTTCCAACTGAAACAATGTATCTGTGACAGACTGAATATAGAATCAGGCTGTCTTCCATCAAGCCAGACATGAAAGAGATTTGCACAAACATAAAGCAATGCCACTCTTTCCACTTGTTTTGAAAATAGTTATTTTTAAAAAAATGTTATTTAACATATAATAGATTTATCATTATTTAAAAATGAAATTAATACATATTTTTTACTTTCTCAGTTTTGACTTCCAACACAGTGTACTCAGTAGACAGAACTCACACAGAAAACAGCGCTGTAGGGTCCTCTTTTTAGGATTGTGAAGGGGTCCTGAGACCAGACAGTTTGAGCTACTGCTATAGAGACTCAACAGTAAGTTAGTCTTGGGTCCGAGGGACAAGAGCCACTCAGCTAGTAGTTGCTGAACTCCTGCCACATGTTTGGAATGAAGGCTACAGATAAGAAAACAGAAGGGCTGTGCCACCGAGAAGCTCAGTCTAGCTGGGCACAGGCAGGCACGAGGTCAGCATGCAGTGGGAAAGACGGGCTTTGCGGAAGTTCAGTCTGCAGCTGAGCTCTGCCAGGTATTAGCTTTTGACATCGGCCTAGTGACTGCATCTCTTAGAGCTGTTTCCTTCATTGCCTGGGGTGAGAACACAGCTGGGGCACTCTGGGAGGATCAAGTAAAGTAGCATACATAAACGTGGGGCTGGACCTGTGCTGACACCAAACCTCCCCCCTGCTGGCCACTCTTGTCCCACACGAGGTCATCTCACAGCGGCAGGGCTTGGAGAGGGGTGAGCTGTCCGCCATTGAAAGCGCTGACCTCTGTCCAGTTATGACCCTGAAGAACGTCACCTTGCTCCCACAAACCCTTAAAGGAATTAGGTATGACAGTGGCTTCTCTTCTAAGTAGTAGAAGAGACAACAGGAGAATGAAAAAAGTGAACACACTCCAGTAGAAACAAAGGCCGGAGCATTAATCACAGAAGTAGAAGCTTATGAAATATTAGAAAAGTCCTTGAAAGAAAATGCTACAAATAACAATTGAGATTGTAATAGGACGACAATAGAAAATACAAGCTAACTAAAAATACAATTATGAATATCATTTCTGCAAATATAAGATCAATAATTTCTGAAAATAATTTTACCTGGTCTAGATCCAGAGAAGAATAGACAATTTTCCCTTTGTCATCTCCAGAGAACAATTTCATCCCATTGGGGCTCCAAGCCAGAGCTGTGATGCTATTTTTGTGAATACCAGTGACATCAAATCTCCGAAGCTATGAATAAGTGATAAAAATACACACAGGAGACAGAAAAGGATAAGCATTGGGAGATGGAGTCTTGTGGACAAGGTGGGAAGGAACCCTCCTATTTATGGAGGAGCTGGGTTCTATCTGCCTATTTACCTTCAAAATCCAGAGATTACTAAATTACCCACATGTGCTCTTTGCCAAATGTCCTACCAGGCACAAAAATGCTACCTGATTATAAAGAACACAGTGTTAAGCTTTTCTAAGCATATATTTATATATATATCTAGGCAGATGAGGATTTCTCATTTTAAAATCCTAAAATGTTTAGTGCTGACCTGCTTATTTCTCCCGGGCAATGAAGACACAAGTTGGAAAACCGCGACCCTCCCAGAGGCTGTGCCTGCAGCCACCAGGTCATCGAAGCAGCTCAGCAGCTTGACCACCGTGATGGATTCCGTTTTTCCCTGAAAGAGAAAATATCCAAAAGCAAACCCTGTAAGCAGGCGGCTTGCAAAGGAAGAACATTCCCAGTGGAGAGTACACTTCACTGGCTGCAGCCTATTCATAATCCTGAGAGAAGACACACACAATTCTGGAAGATAACAGAATCTGTTAAAATACTTCATTTTCTTTTTAGATTTTTAATCTTTGAAATGACAAAGGAGCCTGGACGAGAGGTCTTTCCCCAGATAGGAGTCAGGGGTGAGAAGAGCCGCCCCAGACCCAGCTCTGCTTTCTTCTCGACATGGACCAATCCCTCAACCACTGCGGTGGGTCCACAGCCCTGCACACAGGCTGGCTGCAGGGTCAGCGAGACAGTACCGTGGGAAGTACTTTATAAATGATTCCTGGTACGTTTGGTTCTTAGATCAATAATCAATAAATAATACCAACTCAAGCTTAACATGTACGAGCACTGTATCTATGCAGGCTTCCAGCCCATATAAGTGACCATTTTTGATTTTGAAACCATTCATTCAGAAAAGTGACACAACCATTTTGACCTTGCTGACATTGGGCAAGATCGCCAACGAGCCACTCTGTTCCCTGCTGTGGTCATTTAGGTGGTAGTCAATCTGGCAAACAGGTAAGAATACCCTCCACTCAGGGTACTGAGTCAGCTGCTAAGGTAACATAAACTAGAGTAGATCTCAGTCACCCCAAAGCTTAGCTGGGGCCATGTGAAAAGCTGCCCACAGCTGGCAGGGATGCTAATGACTAAGCTCCCTTTCATCTGGTACTTCAGCGCTTTCAGGGCATTCTCAGGGGCTAGAACTATCTCTGGTGCCAGGTCGTGACGCAGGGTAAGGGACTTGGCTCTGAAGATGTAGGAAGGAAAGGAGGAGCCCTTGAAGAGTCCCGACTTTGCCAGTGTGTCAGTCAGAGGTGATTTGAAATGGGGTGCAGAGGGGGAAAGGGCCAGGCAGGAAGACCAGTGGCCCTTTTTGATCACCAGGTCGGAGGTAGTATGGACCCACCCCAAGAAGTGGCAAACGGAACGGGCGAAGGCAGTACACCAGAGGAAGACCTGGTCAGAGTGGCGGCAGCAGCAGCGAGAACTGCACAGACCCTCTCGTGTGCTGAGCGTGCCCCAGCGCTGTGCAGCTGGTTAAGCACTTTACAAGTGTTGCCTCCGGGAGTCCTCAAACAACCACGTGGGTCAGTCCGTGGTCGTGCTCACTGTACAAAGAGTAAGGGACTTGTCTAAGGTCCCACGGCCCAGCGTGCCTCTCCAGAGGCCGTGCTCAGCCTTGCTGCCCTGTGCTTTCTCTGTGAGTGAGTCTACAGGCCAGGCAGATGGAAGGCCAGGGAGGCTGTGGACAGGAAAAAGAGGAAAGGACTTGACCACCTGGAACGCAGGTAACACGAGTGATGTTCCATTAGCAGAATTTGTTGGTGCTGCTTTGAGGGGAGAAAGTGACAGAACAGGTTTTAGACATAATAGTCTTTTATTTTTCATCCATCTAGTAATTTATTGTAATTTACAAAACTATTAATCAGCCCTGGCTGGTGTGGCTAAGTGGTTAGAGGGTCAGCCTGGGGACTAAAGGGTCACAGGTTCGATTCCTGATTGGGGCGCATATAGAAGGCAACTGATTGATGTTTCTCTCTCCCTCTCCCTCTCCCTTCCTCTCTATAAAATCATTAAAAAAGTAAAATAAAAACACTGCCACCACATCAGTAATTAAAATCATTTATTGGAAATCTCGCCACATCATAGCACAAATTTACAACAGTGTGTAACTTTTCTGAATGAATAGTTTCAAAATACAACTCATCACTCAGATGGGCTGAAGCCTGAATATCTGTGTGCAGTGCTTATACACATGCTCTTCTTTAAAAATATGTTTTCATTAATTTTTGAGAGAGAGGAAGAAAAAGGGAGAGAGAGAAATATTGATGTGAGAAAGAACAACTGGCCACCTCCTGCATACCCCTGACCGGGGATCAAGCCCAAAACCTGGGCAAGTGCCCTGAACACAAATCAAATCAGCGACCTCTCGGTGCACGGGATGATGTTCAACCCACTGAACTACACCAGCCAGGGCTATACACATACTCTTAAACAAACCAATGTACTAAGTGTGAGTTAATGTTATTTAATATGATTAATAATAGTGTTACGGCTCTTTTATTTTTTTATCTTCACCCGAGGACATTCTTCCATTTTTTTGTCCAGGTCTGTGTGTTACAGTTCTTGACTTAAGAACCAAAACATCCCAAGAATCATATTATTCACATTTAACTACACTTCATATAGAAACAAAATATGAGGCTTCAATTTCTGATAATATCAATGTAGCTATTCTGAAAATCATTTCTCTCCAAACACCTAGAAACACCAAGATACAAAAAACAACTTAGCCCTGGCTGGTTTGGCTCAGCGGTTAGAACACTGGCCTACGGTCCAGAGAGACCCGGGTTCGGTTCCCACTAAGGGCATGTACCTTGGTTGCGGTTTGTCCCTGGTCCTGGTTGGGTCGTGCAGGTGGCGACCACTTGATGTGTCCCTTTCACGTCAATGTTTCTCTCTCTCTCTGTCTCTTTCTCTCTCTTCCTCCTTCCCTCCCACTCTATCTGAACAAAAAATGGAAAAATGTCCTCTGGTAAGGATAAAAACAAACAAACAAAAAACATCCTAAATGCACAGCTGAGCCCTGGCCGGTTTGGCTCCATGGTTAGAGTGTTGGCCCGCGGACCAACGAATCGCGGGTTTGATTCCCGTCAAGGGCACATACCTCAGTTGCGGTTCATCCCCAGCCCTGGTGGGGTCGTGCAGGAAGCAACTAGTCAATGTGGCTCTATCACATCAATGTTTCTCTCTGTCTCTCTTTCCCTCCCTCCCACTCTATCTAATGATAAGTAGAAAAATATTCTCGGGTGAGGAATACATTTAAAAAAAAGAAAAAAAGAAATGCACAGCTGATGTCTAGAAAATAAACATCTACAGGAGCTAAAAACAAAGAGAATGTTGCCAAACAGAACAGAAAAAGCCACCCTGAAGCTGCAGGCTTCCCTGGGACTACCTAGCCAGCACCTGGAGATGCAGGAAATGAGGACAAGGCTTCAGGCCAGAGGAGGTGGAGAGCTGGAATCGATACCCAGATCTCAGAAGGGTGAACTAGGAGGGGAATGGATTTGCTGGCAAATGGAGCTGACAAGGAACTCTGTCTTATCTCAGACACTGATGAGACTGAATAAAGAAAGAATCTTTCCTAAGAATCTGCAGTCATGAGCCTACCCTACTCAGCATCAGTCTGAATTTTTCTTCCTTTCCACTCAAAAGAAGCCCCGTGCCAGGCAATTTAGCTGTAGTGCTTCCCTGTGAGTAGCACACCAAGTTGCTGGCAGAGTGAACATAAATCCCATCTGTGTCTCGACCCAGGTCCCTCAGCATCTGCACACATTAGGATCAGCCACACAGCTAAATAATTAGAAATAACCACACAGCTAAATAATTAGAAATAACCATAGGGAAATAGGAGAAGAAGAAGAATCAACTAGAAAAAACAATAATTGAACTGGATACACCTTCACCCTCATCCAAGTATTTGGTTTAGATTAAGGAGATACAGAACATAAAAGAAATATGTTTCACATTTTTAAAGTATAAAAGGAATCTAAAACACAAGAGCAAGCTACTACCAGAAATAGTCAGAAATGAAAAAGAACCAAAAGAACTTAAAATCTTAGTGGTGGGTTAACAAGCAGATTAGTCATAGCTGAAAGAAAATATTGAACTAGATGACATACAAATATGAAAGAGAATTTAAAAAGTCACAGAGGACTTCCAGTCAAGAAGGTGGCATAGGTAAACGTGATATGGCCTCTCCCACAACCACGTCAAAATTACAACTACAGCCCTGGCCAGTTTGGCTCAGCAGTAGAGCATCGGCCCGCAGACTAGTGAGTCCTGGGTTCGATTCCAGCCAAGGGCACATACCTCTGTTGCAGTTCATCCCCAGCCCTGGTTGGGGTCGTGCGGGAGGCAACCAGTCAATGTGCCTCTCTCACGTTGATGTTTCTCTCTCTCTCTCTCTCTCTCTCTCTCTCTCTCTCTCTCTCTCTCTCCCTGCAGATAAATAGAAAAATATCCTCAGGTAAGGATTTAAAAAAAAAAATTAGAGCCCTGGCCAGTTTGGCTCAGCGGTTAGAGCGTCGGCCTGCGGTCCGCAGAGACCCGGGTTCGGTTCCCGCTAAGGGCACGTACTTCGGTTGCAGTTTGTCCCCGGCCCTGGTTGGTCGTGCGGGTGGCAGCCACTCGATGTGTCCCTTCACATCGATGTTTCTCTCTCTCTCTCCCTTCCTCTCTCTCCCTCCCACTCTATCTGTACAAAAAATGGAAAAATGTCCTCGGGTGAGGATAAAAAAAAAAAAAAAAAAAAAAAAAAAAAAAAAAAAAAAAAAAAAAAAAATTAGAACCATCACTCAGAACTGCTTCAAATAGAGCTGAATAGAAGTCTTATGAAATTAAAGAAGCCACATTAAGACTGGTAGGAGGGGCGGAAGCACAGACAGCTGGGTCCCACACTCATGTGTGGCGGATAAAAATCAGGAGGGTACTTCGGCTGGGAAAGCCCTCCCTGAGGAGTGAGGGGTCCCAGCCACACACCTGGCCCCCAGCTCAGGGTTCTAGCACCAGGAAGAGAAGTCCCCATAACTTCTTGCTGTAAAAACCAGTGGGAGTCAAAGTTGAGGGAGGCTGGAGTCCCAAGCAGTTCCTCTTAAAGGGCCCGCACATGGACTTACTCAGACTCGCTCCCTCCAGGCTCCAGGATAGGGAGGCAGCTCAAAAGGCACCAGAGACATTCAGGGAAGAACTGAGTTGTTTGCCATGAGGGCGAGAGTTGGAGAGGCAACTTTCTCCTGGACAGATGGGCTGGCAGAGGCCATTGTTTCTTTAGTGAGCCCTTCCCCCACAGGGCTGGCAGAGACTGCCATATCTGGGACTGCAGCAACCTGGCTCACACTGTTTGCCCCGCCCTGGTGACTCCCTGAGGCCCCGCCCCACCCAACTTTCAGGCCCACCCAAGCTGTTTCCAGTGGCTTTACCATAGGATTGGCCTGTCTTGGCTTCTGTTTCAGATTTTCCTGAATTCTCTCAAAGTGCATCTGGCCTCAGAAAACCCCATACCTCTCACTAAATAACCCCAGTCCTGGAACTAGAGGCTGCCAGCCTTGGTTCACAGCTTGGCTTTGCCTGGGCACCTCCAAGCCCAGCACAAGCAGCAGCCATTTGCAGATCACTTTGTAGCTTATGCCTGGTGGCCCCAAATAGAACACAGACAGTGGCTGACCTTGCCCCAGAGCTAACTCACTCAGTGGACAGCTTCAGGCCACAGTGAAGCACCACCACCCAACCACCTCCATAAGCAACACACTCAAGGAGTGCACTCAGTGGATACCAGAGCCCTGCTGAAGTAAGTCTTGCTCTGTATGGTGGGCCCCTGCACAGCTGATCCTCCAAGGTAGTCAAAGGTCAGTGGTCAGTGGGCACAGCCAGTCCTTGCAGCTCATCAGCCTGAGTAAATCCTTCCCATTAAAGTGCCAACAGCAATCAAGACTCAATTACAACAGAAGGGTGTATATATCGTTCACACGAGGGGTGCACCTTGAGAGCCCAGCTGGGGTGATCAGGGAGGCTGTGCCACTGGACCCTACAGGACACCTAATACAACAGGCCATGCTAGAAAGCCTAGGAGACATAGCAGCTCTTCCTAATACATAGAGGCGAACACACGGAGGCAGCCAAAATGAGGAGACAAAGAAATATGTCCCAAATTAAAGAAGAGAACAAAACTGCAGGAAAAGAACTAAATGAAATGGAGATGAGTAATCAACCAGATGCAGAGTTCAAAACACTAGTTATAAGGATGCTCAAGGACTTGAGTGAAAATTTCAAGGAACTTAGTGAGGACCTCAAGAGAATAAAAAAAGGACCAGACAGAAATGAATGATGCACTAACTGAAATAAAAATTTTTTTTTACAGGGAATCAATACTAGAGTAGGTAAAGACAAGAAGCAAACCATCGATTTGGAATATAAGGAAGCAAAACACACCCAAACAGAACAGATAAAAGAAAAAGAATCCAATATAATGAGGATAGTATAAGGGGCCTCTGGGACAACTTCAAGCGTACCAATATTTGCATCACGTGGGTGCCAGAAGGAGAAGAGAGAGAGCAAGAAATTGAAAACCTATTTGAAAAAGTAATGACAGAACACTTTCCTAACTTGCTGAAGGAAACAGACATACAAGTCCAGGAAGCACAGCGAGTCCCAAACAAGATAAACTCAAAGAGGTCCAAAGCAAGACACATCATAATCAAAATGCAAAAGGTTAAAGACAAAGAGAATGTTAAAAGCAGCAAGAGAAAAGCAGTTAGTTAGTTACCTACAAGGGAGCTCCCATAAGACTATCAGCCTATTTCTCAAAAGAAACTTTGCAGGCCAGAAGGGAGTGGTAAGAAAATTTGAAGTGATGAAAAGCAAGGGCCATGCTCGCTTTGGCAGCACATATACTAAAATTGGAACAACACAGAGAAGATGAGCATGGCCCCTGCACAAGGATGACAGGCAAATTCATGAAGTGTTCCATATTAAAAATAAATAAAAAAGAAAATCAAGAACCTACAACTAAGATTACTCTATCCTGCAAAGCTATTGTTTAGTATGGATGGACATATAAAGAGTTCCCCAGACAAGAAAAAGCTAAAGGAGATCATCACCACTAAACCAGAATTGTTGAAGGGTCTTCTTGAAGTAAAAGAACAAAAATACGAATAATAATATGGCAATAGATATACATCTATCAACAATTGAATCTACAAACAAAATAAGCAAGCAGAACAGAAACAGACTCATAGATACAGAGAACTTTTTGTTGGTTGCCAGATAGGAGGGGGACTGGGGGGATGGGTGAAAAAGGTGAAGGGATTAAGAAGTACAAATTGGGCCCTGGCCCGTTTGGGTCAGCAGTTAGAGCATCGACCTGCGATCCAGAGAGACCCGGGTTCGGTTCCCGCTAGGGGCATGTACCTTGGTTGCAGTTTGTTCCTGGCTCTGGTTGGGTCGTGCGGGAGGCAGCCACTTGATGTGTCCCTTTCACGTCGATGTTTCTCTCTCTCTCCCCCACTCTATCTGAACAAAAAATGGAAAAAATGTCCTCAGGTGAGGATTAAAAAAAAAAAGAATGACAAAAAAGAAGTACAGCCCTGGCCGGTTTGGCTCAGCGGTTAAAGCGTCGGCCTGCGGTCCGGAGAGACCCAGGTTCGGTTCCCGCTAAGGGCATGTACCTCGGTTGCAGTTTGTCCCCCGCCCTGGTTGGTCGTGCGGGTGGCAGCCACTCGATGTGTCCCTTTCACGTCGATGTTTCTCTCTCTCTCTCTCCCTCCCACTCTATCTGTGCAAAAAATGTCCTCGGGTGAGGATAAAAAAAAAAAAAAAAAAAAAAGAAGTACAAATTGGTCCTGGCAGGTCTGGCACAGCAGTTAGAGCATCAGCCCGCAGACCAATGAGTCACAGGTTTGATTCTGGCCAAGGGCACATACCTCGGTTGCGGTTTGTCCCTGGCCCTGGTCAGGTCATGCAGGAGGCAACTAGTGGATGTGGCTCTATCACATCGATGTTTTTCTCTGTCTCTCTCTCTCTCCCTCCCTCCCACTCTATCTGATGATAAACAGAAAAGTACCCTCGGGTGAGGAATAAAAAAGAAAAAAAAAAGTACAAATTGGTTGTTAGACTGACAAACCTCAAAGGGAAGGGGGTGGGGGAGTGGGAAGAGATAAACCAAAAAACTTCTATGCATATACGTATTATCAATGGACACAGACAATAGTGTGGGGAAAGCAAGAGGGGGGCAGGAGTGAGAAGGAGGGGGTCAATGGGAGAGATGGGGGGCATCTGTAATATATTTAACAATAAAGATAAGTTTAAAAGGACACAGAAAAGACACAGAGGATATAATAAGAAGGTCCAACCTATATCTAATCAGGATGCCAGCAGCAAGAAAAGAGAGAAAAAGAGAAGGCAGTATCTTCAGAAATAAGAACTAAAAATGGCCCTGGCCGGTTTGGCTCAGCGGTTAAAGCGTCGGCCTGCGGTCCGGAGAGACCCAGGTTCGGTTCCCGCTAAGGGCATGTACCTCGGTTGCAGTTTGTCCCCAGCCCTGGTTGGTCGTGCGGGTGGCAGCCACTCGATGTGTCCCTTTCACATCGATGTTTCTCTCTCTCTCTCTCTCCCCCTCCTGCTCTATCTGAACAAAGAATGAAAAAGTGTCCTCGGGTGAGGATAAAAAAAAAAAGAACTAAAAATGATCCAAGAATGATGAAAGGCTTGTATCCTCAGGAGCAAAAGCCCAAACAAGATTCATAAAAAAAATACACACATATATACCTTGTAGTGAGACAGTAAAAACTTAAAGACAAGGAGAAGATATTAATATGTCAGAAAAAAAGCAAATGAGCAAAGATGAATAATTATTTAAAAAACAGACTTCGCAATAGCAACAATGCAGTCCAGAAGACGGTGGAATATCATCTTCAAAGCACTAAGAGAAAAAACTGTCAGCCTGTATGGTATACCTGTCTACAGAATTCAAAAACAGAAAGATATTCAAACAAACAGAAATCAAGAGTACTTACCACCAAAAGACCTCAACACAAGAACTCTTAAAGAATGTATTCCAGAAAGAAGGAAAATGATTGCAAAGGGAAGAACTGAGATGTAACAAGGAATGATGAGTGAAGAAGTTGTTAAAAACAGCCCTGGCCGGTTTGGCTCAGCAGTTAGAGTGTTGGCCTGCGGTCCTGAGAGACCCGGGTTTGGTTCCTGCTAGGGGCATGTGCCTCGATTGCAGTTTGTCCCCGGCCCTGGTCGGTTGTGCGGGTGGCAGCCACTCGATGTGTTCCTTTCACATCGATGTTTCTCTCTCTCTGTTCCTCTCTCTCCCTCCCACTCTACCTGAACAAAAAAATGGAAAAATGTCCTCGGGTAAGGGAAAAAAAGAAAAAAAAGAAGTTGTTAAAAACACAAGGGAATTTAAACAATGACTATAAAATACAATTATGTTCAATTTCAGTAGTTAGAAATATAATTAAAATACTACACAGTTACATGTATGATGAGAAAGTCCAGATAGAGACACTGTAAAAAAAACAAACAAACTGTAGTTAACCCTTAACAACTTGGAGGTTAGGAGTGTCGCCCCCCCCTTCCCCCATGCAGTCAAAAATCCATGCAGAACATCTGACTACCCAAAAACTTAACTATTAATAGTCTACTACTGACCAGAAGCCTTTCCAATAACAAAGAGTTGATTAACATATTGTGTATGTTTTATGTATCATATACTGTATTCTTAAAACAAAGCTAGAGAAAAATGTTACTAAAAAACTCATAAGAGAAAATATATTTCCAGTGCTATACATATTTTTTGGGGAAAATAAATCTGTGTATTAGTGGACCCAGGCAGTTCAAACCCATGTTGTTCAACGGTCAACTTCACAGACCAATATCCCTCATGAACGCCCTGGTCGGTTTGGCTCAGTAGTTAAGAGTGTTGGCCTGAGGTCCAGAGATCTGGGTTTGGTTCCCGCTAAGGGCATGTACCTCGGTTGCAGCCCCTGGCCCTGGTTGGGTAGTGCAGATGGCAGCCACTCAATGTGTTTCTTTCATGTCGATGTTTCTCTCTCTTTCTCTTCTTCTCTCTCCCTCCTGCTCTATATGAACAAAAAAATGGAAAAATGTCCTTGGGTGAGGATAAAAAAAAAATTTTTTTTGTCTTGAACCTTTTGCATTTTGATGATGATGTGTCCTGGTGTGGGCCTCTTGGGGTTCATTTGTTTGGGACTCTCTGTGCTTCCTGGACTTGTATGTCTGTTTCCTTCACCAAGTTAGGGAAGTTTTCTGCCATTATTGTTTCCAATAGTTTTTGATTTCTTGTTCTCTCTCTTCTCCCTCTGGCACCCCCAAGATGTGAATGTTGGCATGTTTGAAGTTGCCCCAGAGGCTCCTTACACCATCCTCACTTTTTTGGATTCTTTTTTCTTTTTGCTGTTCTGATTGGCCATGTTTTGCTTCCTTATATTCCAAATCGATGGTTTGCTTCTTGGCTTTGCCTACTCTACTATTGAATCTGTGTAAATTATTCTTTATTTCAGTTAGTGCCTCCTTCATTTCTTACTGGTCCTTTTTTATGCTCTTGAGGCCCTCACTAAGTTCGCTGAGGTTCTCACTAAGTTCATTGAGCATCCTTATAAGCAGCATTTTGAACTCAGCATATGTTAGGTTGCTTATCTCCATTTCGCTTAGTTCTTTTCCTGAAGTTTTGTTCTGTTCTTTCATTTGGGACTATTTCTTTGTCTTCTCATTTTGGCTGCCTCCCTGTGTTTGTTTCTGTGTATTACTTAACGAGAGGTATGGGGCTAGCTGAGACCAAATGCTGCTTGTTTGAAAAATTTTAGGAAAACCTGAAGCAGGATCCAAGACAAACCAATCCTATGGTAAAGCAACTGGCAACAGCTTGGGTGGGCCCCAAAGTTGGGTGGGGCTGGGCCTCCGGGAATCATCAGGGCGGGGCAAACAGTGTGAGTGAGGTTGCTGCGGTCCCAGATGTGGCGGCTGTCTGCTGCCCCAGGGAAGGGTTCGCCAAAGGAACAAAGGCCTCTGACAGCATGTCTGTCCAGGAGAAAGCCCCCTCTCCAGCCCTCGCTCCAATGCCAAACAGCTCAGTTCTTCTGGCGCCCCTCTAGCTGCCTCCCCTCTGAACTCAGAGGGAGTGAGTCCCATAAGTCCATGCGCGGGCCCTTTAAGAGGAGCTGCCTTGGGCTCCAGCTGCCTGAGCCTCAGTTCCCGCTGGTTTTATAGCCAGAAGTTATGGGAACTTCTCTTCCTGGCACTGGAACCCTGAGCGGGGCACCTGGTGTGGGACAGGGACCCCCTTTGTCCTCAGGGAGGACCTTCACAGGTATACTAATTTTTATCTGCCACACGTGGGTGTGGGGCCAGCCCGTCACACCTCTGCCCCTACCAGTCTCAATGCAGCTTCTTCTTTAATTGTGTAGTTGTAGGACTTCCCTTCAGCTCGGTGTCAGGTGGCTTTGAATGATGGTTGTTCTGTAGTTTAGTTGTAACTTTGATGTGGTTGTGGGAGGACGGATACCGTGTTTACCTACCCGCCATCCTGACCGGAAGTCCGGTGTATAGTTCTTGTATTACCTGTGCAGTGACAGGATAATTGACAGCGGACTGATGCTTTCCACCTGTGAGTCTTCACTTCCACAGGCACTTCATTTCTGACACTTTTGGTCACCAAATGTGTGTGGGGTTTTCCCCACAGTAGCAAGCAAGTCTGATACCAGTTGGGTGCCCTACAATCTAACTCAATTCTGACAACACCTACCTGGATATAGCATATTATCCCACAGGTCAAGGGCTCAGTCCCCACAGCACAGTGCCCCGCGTTCGGGTGCCAGTGCTTCTAACTGACATACAGATTGGAGGTTCCTCGGGTTTGATTAATTTGCTAGAGTGGCTCACAGACCTCAGGGTAACACTTACTTCCAAGTTTCTAATCACGGCTTGGTCTTTCTGGTGACTAGTCCT